AATAATATTAACAATTAAAATGACGCTTAAATAAAAAGGTCTTCCCCTGGTGCCAAAAAACAAGTAATGACGGCGCCAGGCGGACCTCTCTGGGGAGTGCATTCCATAGATTAGGCGCTACCGCAGAGAAAGCCCTCCTCCGAGTACCTACCCTCCTAATTTCTTTCACGTAGGGTTCCCGGAGAAGGGCCTCTCCCGCAGATCTCAAGAATGTTGATATGTGCAGAAACAGCTATTCAAGGAAGGCTTTTTCAGAAACGCCCTGTTTTCAATGGAACTTTTGCCCAGTATTAGGGTTAGGGGTATGCACCAGCATTGGGTTGGGGTTACCAAAACGATGTGTCCTGGCATGATTTTGATGGTTGGAATGTGGTTTGAATGGGCAGAAATGATGCGCTGTGAAGAAAAATCTATTCGAGGAAGGTGTTTTCAAAATTGCCCAATTTTTAATGGAACTTTCGCAGTATATTAGGGTTTGGGGTCTGCTCCAGGGTAGGGTTAGTTATAAATACATGGTGCCTTGCCATGATTTTGATGGTTGGAATGTGTTTAGAATGGGCAGAAATGTTGAGCTATGTTGAAACAGCTACTCAAGGGAGGCTTTTCCAAAATCTCCCTCTTTCTAATGGTATTTTAGCCCTATATTAGGGCTACGGTTTGCTCCAGAGTAGGTTTAAGGTTAAAGAAACGTGGTGTCCTGGCATGATTTTGCAGGTTGGAATGTGTTTAGAATAGGCAGAAATGACGCGCTGTGCAGAAAAATCTACTCATGGAAGGCTTTTCCAAAATCGCCCCTTTTCCATGGTGTTTTAGCCCTATATTAAGGTTTGAGGAGTGCACCAACATAGGGTTGGGGTTACAGAAACGATGTGTCCTGGAATGATTTTGATTGTTGGAATGTGTTTAGAATGGGCAGAAATGATGTGCTGTGCCGAAAAATCTACTCAGTGAAGGGTTTTTCTAAATCGCCCTCTTTTCAATGGAACTTTCACCCAAGTATTAGGGTTAGGGGTGTGCACCAGCATAGGGTTGGGGTTAGAAAAATGAGGTGTCTTGGCATATTTTTGATGGTTGGAATGTGTTTGGAATGGGCAGAAATGATCAGCTGTGCAGAGAAAACTACGCATGGAAGGCTTTTCCAAAATCACCCTCATTTCAATGGTATTTCAGCCCTATATTAGGATTAGGGGTGTGCTCCAGGTTAGGGTTAGTGCTAGAAAAACATGGCGTCCTGGCATGATTTTGATGGTTGGAATGTGTTTGGAATGGGCAGAAGTGATCAGCTGTGCAGAGAAACCTCATGGACAGGTTTTTCAAAATCGCCCTTTTCAATCGTATTTTACCCATATATTAGGGTTTGGGGAGTGCACCAGGGTAGGGTTTGGGCAGTGGTGGTGAACCTATGGCACGTGTCCCCCAGCGGGCTCACAGAGCCCTCTCTGTGAGCACATGAGCCAAGTCGCCCCTGCATTCCCCTAGCACCCGATACTTGCTTGCACTGGCTGTGACTTGTGTTTCCTAAACTAAAACCTCAGTTCTCAGGTTTTATTGTAGTGTTGGCACTTTGTGATAAATACGTGAGTTTTGGGGTGCTGTTTGGACACTCGCTCTCTAAACAGGTTCACCATCACTGTTCTAGACCATTTCAGGTTTCAGCACATAAGAAGTTTTCATTCTGATTTGTAGGATACTAGCATTTAGGATTATAGTATCACAGAACGGTGGTGTTGGAAGGGGTCAGAGGGCATTGGGTGCAACCCCCTGCTCAGGGTAGGACCCTGAGTCATCCATCCCTCTCGATGACTGTCCAAGTGCATCTTAAATGCCTCCAGTAGGTAATTGGTTCCTTTGTTGTACTGCTGTATCAGCAAGGAAAATTTTCCTGACCCCTAACCTGAATCTGGCCTCCTGAAGCTTGAGTTCATGCTTCTGTGTCTTGCACTCTGGGATGATTGAGAAGAACTTGCTTCCATCCTTCCTTTTTGTGACAAGCCTTTCGAGCACTTGTACAGTGCCATCGTATCTCCCATTAGACTACTCTTCTCCAGGCTAAACATGCCCAGTTCTTTCCATCTCTCCTCACAGAGCTTTGTTTCGAGTCCCCGTATCATCCTTGTGGCTTGCCCTCTGAATCCCTTCCAGCTGGTCAGCATCTTTCTCAAACTGTGCTGCCCAGAACGGGACACAGTACTCGAGAGGAGGCCTAACTGATGCTGAGGAAAGCGGAACTAGTACTTCATGTGATTTGGAACTGATTCTTCTATTAATGCAGCCTTAAATAGCATTTGCCCTTTTTGCAGTCACGACACGGTGCTGCCTCACATTCAGCTTGTGATCTGCAACAATCCTAAGATCCTTCTCATTTACGGTATTGTTGAGCCAAGTATTGCAATGATGCATTTGGTTTCTTTTTCCTAGGTGCAGAACTTGGCATTTGTCCTTATTGAATTTTATTCTGTTTTCAGCCCAATCACTTTGAATCTTGTTTGTCTTCCAGGGTATTAGCTATCTCACCCCATTTTGTGTCATCTGCAAATCTGATCATTGTTCCTTGCACTTCCTCATCCAAATCATTTAAAAAATGTGGAATAGCACTGGACCAAGGACTGAACCCTGTGGGACCCCACTTGTAACCTCTCCCCAGTTTGAGAGCATGTGCCTGATGATCATTCTTTGAGTCCAATTCTATAGCCAACTGTGGATCTACCTGATTGTTGCTCCATCTAGCCCGTTTTTAGCTCGTTTGCTATTCTAGATATCATGGGGCACCTTGTCAAAAGCTTTGTTGAAGTCAAGTTATACTATGTCCATAGCATTCCCAGTTTATCAGGGAGGTTACCCAGTGAAAAATTAAATTCTGATTAGTCTGGCAAGACCTGTTCTTGAGAAGTCCGTATTGGCTTCTAGTAATCAGGCATTACCTTCAAGGTGTTTGCAGACTGACTGCTTTATAATCTGCTCCTGAATTGTCTGAAGAATTGAGGTCAGACTGAGTGCTGCGTAGTTCCCAGGTTCTTCTTTTTTCCTTTCTTGAACATGGGGGCAATAGCCCTTGTCCAGTCATCTGACACTATTTTCCATTATTTCTCAAGGATAATAGACAATGGTTCTGAGAGTTCTTCCACTAGCTCCTTTTTGACTTTACGATGGAATTTATCAAGCCCTAGCAGAACTCATTCAACACAATTGGATGAAGCTTGACCATTTGCCTATCATTCCTGAGTTGCCATCCAGCTTTTCCCTTCATCAAGAAGGTCGTAGATCTTTTTTAGGAGAAGACTGAGTCAAAGTAGGAACTGAGCACTTCTGCCTTTGTCATCTGTTAACATTTTGCCACCCAACTGAGCCGCTGAACCCCCATTTCTTTCCTTTGTCTTTTACTATGGACATATCTAAAGAAGGCTTTGTCACTTTTACCATCCATTGCTAACCTCATTTCATTCCTAGCTTTAGCCTTCCTGACACCATTCCTTCAATTCCATGCTACCTGCCTGTATTCTTCCTTAGCCTGTACTTTCTTCCACTTTCTATACATGTCCTTTGTTTTCAAATCATCTCTAAGCTTCTGTGAAGCCACATGGGCTTGTCTTCTACCCACTTTTCTTGTTGAAATTATTTGCAATTGTGTCTTTAGAATTCTGTTAAAAATCCCCACCCATCTTGGCCTCTTTTTCTCATTGGGATCACTTGCCGCGAGACTTTGCTTATCATTGTTCTGGGTTTATTAAAATTGGCTTTCCTAAAATCCAGGGTATGTGTTTAGCTACACACAGAGCTAATTCAAAAGTATTGGTTAAGAAGTATCTTTGATTTAAAAATGGCTTTTTTTCCCTGTTTTCTGTCACGAAACAGCAAAATAGAGGTGTGTTTACCGTGCAAGAGAAAGGGGCTCAACACTTTTAGTGTCCTGTATAAGGCTCATTGACACTAACACACACATTACAGAAATCTCCATGCTCTGCGATTTAGTAAAAGACTGAATGTACGCAAGACTTGGTTGCCGATGTTAAAATGTGTGGCAGTAAATATAGATCCTGATTTGCTGCCCTTTAGCTCCCCAAACTGTAGGGCAAATCTAAGAGAACACATTTCTCCTTTCCCATAGAATCAGTCAAATCCCATTAATCATCAGGGCAGAAGTATATATGTTTTTAAAGAGTGATGCACCTAGAACCCTGGGCACTGTTTGGGTGTGCAGGGGTGGGAGGCATCCTTGCCATACGCAGTGGGTTGCAGAGCACCGATCCTTCCAGACAGGCATGAGCAAAGGGCACTTGGCTCCCTCCAGAAACATGTCAACAAAGCTTTGAAGGAAGAGGGAGAAGCCTCCTAGCATCATTCTTTTCTTCATCCCTGCCACTGCCTCGGCAAACACACCTCCTTATTCCCTGGCTGGGATGTATACATTCCAACACCAGCCATGCTGCTTTTCTGTATGAGCGGCAGGAAGATCAGAGGCTGCCTAGACAAAGCCCAGCTTTGGTCCACCCAGGCCGGCACTGTGGACACAACCAGCAGCCGCTCTCCAGGGATTCACCATCACTACTCAGCAAACAGTACAGTTATGGTACAAGGAATCTAACACAACAGGCTACAGGACAGCTGTATGCAAGTAAGCGTTTGCTTTGCATACTGATTTACCTGCCCTTGACTAATCCTACTTTAGAGCAGTTTCCCAACCTGGTGCCCTGCAGGTGTGTTGGACCATACATCTGTAATTCTACATATCTGGTGATCACTATGTTGGAAAAGGCTAAATTTGAATATATCTGTCTTCTGGAAGTTTTGGGAAAACCTCATGTGTACTGTGAAGTATGGTGGGAAAAGACTGTTGTAATGGAAAGAAGGGGAATATTGCTGCTTCCAAATTAAAAGGCTTCGTATAAAACAAAATATTAGTGTGCTATTTCACTTTGTGACATGTAGGGAATGTGGTTAGAGATGTCATATTTCTATATCAAATATAGACACTTTATATGTGAAAATACACACAGAGGAAGCACAATATATATATATATATATTTAAAAATTCTAAACCAGTCCTTAAAGTTGGACAAAAGAACAAACATTTCATTTTCATACCAGATTCAAAGATGAAATTAGAACTGATTGTTTGAGTTTACTGTTCCTCCAGGAGGGGAACACAGCAAAATCAGGATGGTCTGGAAAACCCAAATCAAATCTCCGTGCCACACCCCTACATCCCATCAACAAAAATGCTATCATTGGTGAAAGGCTTGATTCCTTTTGCTATGGAGATCGACCAGGCTCCACGGATAAGTCAGCTTCACGCCCCTGTTAGTACTCTCCCTCTGTACCATTTTTAAGGTCAAAGAAATCATGCGCTACTGACTGAGGCTTGCTCACTATAATGACCTCTTTAGAAAGCTTCAGCAGCTGTGCTCTTCCAGGCATGGGAAGATAAATGATGTTCTGCTAAAGGTAGCAGTGGACCAGGACATATCAACTAACCCTTGCCCCAGCCTCATTTCTCCATGATTACAGGAAGTGTAAGGATGAAGGCATCTCCCATATCAGAGCAATATTCTATGGAACTGGCATGGGAAATACCTGCAGGGTCTAGGGGATTTGAGAAATTGCTCATTCCTGATGCATTATGAGAGCTAACCAAATTGAGATACTGTTTTTCTCTCCCAGTCTCTTTCTTAGCCATGTGAACTGACCTTTTTGTGGGCTACAAAACAGAATGCATGGCTTTACCTTTGGTGGTCTTCAACATGGTTTTCAGGTTTAGACAGGACGTGGTTTAGGTGCAGACCACAGAAATGGCTTCTACAGGAATTATGAGTCCTTTGGTGACACCTCAGACTCAGGTAGCTTATAATGCACCCTGTTGCAGGATATCCCAGTGACATACGGAACTCAGAATTCATGATACACATGTGTCCCAGAGTCAAGCCACAATTATCATTCTGCGACATCATTCTTTAAGGTCCTTCAAGTCTCATGCTCACTTTTTCGGGCTGAAAGAGCCAAGAGGGGACCCCTGCACATAAGCCATGATGGCATTCTGGAGAAAACTGGCTCGCTGAGCTTCCTCCTCCCTCATTCTGCAGATTTCTGCCTCACGGACCCGTAGCTTCTCGAGCAGGCTTGAGATTTCACCCTCTTTGTCCAGGAGCTTCTCCCGATGGTTGCTGGACAACACTGCACAAACATAAAAGCAAAAGGCAGACCGTGGTGGGCCAAGCCAAAGGCCTTTCCAGGTCGGGGTTCTGTCCACATAATGACCAGCCAGACGCCCCAGTAGGCCAGGAACGCAGCAGCACCCTCGTCTCCTTGTCCTGCAGCAATTAGCGTACAGAGGTGTTCTGCCTTTGATACCAGAGGTAATTGATAGCTGTGAGGATGCATAGTTATTGATAGCCTTTCCGTCCATGAATTTGCCCAATCCATGGGTCCTCAAACTACGGCCCCAGGCCGGATCCGGCCCACCATTTATCCGGCCTGCCTCAGAGGTTTTGGACTCCTCGCGCCCAAGCCCCCCGCCACCACCGCCTGCCTCACTGCGCACGCAGCAAGGCGGCGGCTTGCTCATTTGGAGATCATTTTGGACTCCCCCAGAGATCTCTGAGCGAGCAAGCTGCTGCCTTGCCATGCGCGCGCCCGCCGCCACCTCACCAGCCCGCGCCCGTGGACACCCCTGCCTCACCGGCCTGCGCCCACCACAGCAGCCTTTCAACTGGCCCCCCGTTGAAAAAGTTTGAGGACCCCTGGTCTAGACCCTTATTAAAGCTATCTAAGTGCATGACCATCACTACTTCCTGTGACCGCAAATTCTATGTCTAATGATGCATCCCTGGAAAAAAAGTACTTTGCATTATGGGTCTTCAGCTTTATGGGTTTGAATATTATGGGAAAGTAGGGAAAACTTCCTCCTAACTGCCTTTACATCAAGCAAAATTTTGTACACCTCTATCATGTTTCTTCCAACTCTAAACCATCTCCCTAATGCCTCAGTCCTTGTGGTCTCAGGATGGAGAAAATGCTTTCCAGGCAGGGCATATTTTACATGGCAGTGACAGAAACCAATAAAGCACCAGATACCATTCAGTGGTAGAGAAATGTAGGTTTGCCCTCCAAGATGATGCCACAGCTTAATCCAGGAACAATCTGGGTAAACTGGGACTTGGTCCCTTCTCTTGCTAGCAGGACAAGCCTAACTGTGACTGGTCTTCCCCCAAGATACTTGTAGCCCCTCTACTGAAAGAAGCTTCCAGCACAACCAGTCACATTTAATCTTGAGTGAGGGTACATAAGACTGCTTCCCTCGATCATGCTACTGCTCACGGACTTGGGATTTTTGGCAACCAGTTTCCTTATTCTAGGCTTGTTGGGACTGAACGAGGTGGAAAGACAGCTCAAGAGCAACCTCAGCCCAGGAGGAGATGAGAAGGATGCCCAGGCATCACGTGGGCTGAGGTGCCCCAAGCTGAGGGGGCACATGAAGGAGTGTGGATGTGCTGCGCAGAGAGAATGGGAGCTGGCAAAGGCATGCAGAGCTGCATGAGAATCATGAGTGGGGCCCTTTGCGGCCCACCAGGCAGGCAAGGGTTGCATCCAGACCACTGCTTTGAGAGAGAGCGCCCTGGCTTTTCGTTCTCTTGCAGGTATCTCATAGGAAAGATCCAGGCTTGGGGTATCAAATGGCACACACAGAAAAGTACTTGGTAGCGTTAGAAAGCAGTAACAGCTGGCCTGCACGGGCAAGGTCCTTGCCAGTAGCCATTGCCACAGTCCTTTATGTGCTGCAGCTTCCGAGGAAGCAGAGACCTCTCCCCTCGGGCCTGTTACCTTTCAGCTGTCGCTCCAGGGCTGCAATCTTCTCTCGCAGTCCTTCCTGTGCTGTTCTCTCAGCCTCCAGGTGTCCAATCTGCTCCTGCAGCTCCACTCGCACCTTGTTGACCTCTGCGACTTTCTCCTGCTCCTTGCTGCTCAGCTCCTGCCATGCATGGGGGCAGTGAAGCCTAAGCGTGCTTGACTGCAGCCAGAGTCACAGTGCTGGCCAGCCTTCGCTGGCCTGGTATCCTCCAGATGTGTGGCGTTGCCTCCCCAGCCTTCTCTGCCAAGATGGCCATAGAAACATCTGGAGGGCAGGTTAGTGAAGGCTGCACCATCCTGTCACCAAACGATGGGCTCCAACAGATCTGTATTCTTCCCCCAGTCCCTCGCCTTCCTTTAACATCACCGGCATTGGTTATGCATGCCCTCAGACAAATGTCTGGTTGTTGGGTGGAAGATTCAGATGAGAAGCTGATGAATGGAAACTACTAGCTTGGACATGTTGCTGGTTTATGATCAATTCCATGTGCACATTACCCTAACAGGCAGCTAGATGCACAATGCACAACAGGAAATGTGGAACCCAAAGACACTTAAATCAACTTAAAAGGAAGTGGCTAGTTCTCGTGGCTATACAGGAAGTTTGAATGTGGCTGGAGGATGAACCAGAATAAAACTTGCAGTAGTTAGAGAAGTGCCCCTCCTTGCTCCATACTTCTTTAGTTCTCTCCTATTACCTGTTTTTGTAAAATTATAAAACAAGCACTTTAATTGTATATGAAGAGTGCAACAATTAACAGAAATTGAGCACATTCGAAAACTGAGTAATAGTGTAAGCCTGTAAATGCCTACTTAAAAGTAAGCTCTGTTGAGTGCAGAGTGACTGTCTCCCAGGTAAGTATGCCCGGCAGAGGTACTTTCAGCCCCAGGGTTGAATTCCATTTGGAGAAACTCTCCAGGGCCTCATTCCAGTGAAGGGCACGGCTGAAGGAAAAAGGGAGCTGGACAACTATATCAGCCTGTTATAGCTTAATGTTCCTACTGCCAATAACTAAGCCTTAAGAGATGCATTTCAACCTTTTACCATTGCTTTGGGGAGGGGAACCACTGAGCCACCAAGGTCAGGAAGAAAGGTCACAGGACTCAGAGTAAGACGGGCAACATGGACACTTGTGGGACCCAAAGGCTGGGTTAAGGACCAGGAAACTGGATTTGCCCCCTGGCCCTGATGCTCTGTGCTCCTGATGCAGAGGACTGCAGCCCTGATCCACGTGCTGATTCAGGCTTTCCTAGCCGTGCAGCAGCATCTGCCCAGGTATGTCCATTTTCAAGCCAAAGCTCCCATTCACCTGCTGAAGCTCCTCTGCCCGCCTCCTGAGCCCTTCCACCTGCAGACTCAGCTGGCTCTCCTTCGCATGGGCCTCTGCTACTGACTGTTTCTGTTGCAGACAGCAATTCTGAGCCTCATCGCGGGCCTGCATCATTAGCCGCAGCTTCTCTTCCAGGTGCTCCAGTCGCTGTTGCTGTGAATGGCAAAGGAGCAGAGAAAGACGAAGGGAAGCCACGTGCTTGAAGCCAAACAGTGGCTCCCAAGAAGAGCTGCTACCCAATTCATGTCATCTCAGTTGATTTGCGATAGTTGATTTGTGGACTGCGTACTTTTCATCAATTACTTTTGAAACTGGACTAGCCCATGGATAAAAACAACAGCTCTGAAGCAGAGGACCTACTTTGTTCTTGGATGATGTTTGTGTGAGAGATGGGGGGAAATGCTGCAGATTCTATAGGCACCAATATCTAAGGCATTCAGAGTTGTATACCTAGTCCTCCCTTCCCCTTTTATATCCTCACAACATTCTGGTGAGACAAGGTCCGCTGAACAAGAGAACAACTGGGCCAATGCTGCCCAGTGAGTTTGCAGCTAAGTAGAATATTTGACTCTAGGACTTCCAGCTCCTAGGCCAGGGGTCCTCAAACTTTTCCACCAGGGGGCCAGTTGAAAGCTGCCGGTGCTGGGCACAGGCCGAAAAGGTGGTGCTGGTGGTGCGCGCGGGCTGGGGTCAGTGAGGCGAGGTGAGGCTGGGTGGGCACGCACCACGAGGCGGGCGCACGAGGCAACAGCTTGCTTGCTTGGAGATCGCTTTCTGTGAGCAAGCAAACCGCTGCCTCCCCACACTTGGGGCGAGGTGGGCAGCGGTGGGTGCACGCGTGGGCATGGGGGTGCGCGCATCGGGTCCAAATGGGCATGGCAAGCTGGATCTGGTCCCCGGGCCATAGTTTGAGGACCCATGTCCTAGGCCAACACAAAATGCTGGGTTCCTTTCCAACAGGGTCACTCAACAATGGCAATGTTGCAGTCCTACAGTAACAGAGCTGTGGATTATAAGGCATGGATGGGAAAAGCGTGCCTGGTAGGTTGTAGCCTAGCAACATCTCAAGGGCCATGCTTTTTCTACCATTATAGGAATCGGGGGGCTGCCAATGGAAACACCAGCCCCACGTGGCATGAGCTGCTCCCCCTCCAGTGGACCTCAAGTCACTGCCCCATGCTCCTCCCTGCCCCTGCTGCGCATCCCTGGCAGCCGCTTGTGCAGGTGGAGGAACAGAAGGAGGGGACAGTAGAATGAGGGCGTCTTGCAAGCACAGTTTGTTTGCCCAGCAGCTCCATGTATTTTGCAGCATGCGGTTCTGCGCAAAATGATTGACCCCCTTGAGTTGCCTGCTGTACGCACCTCTTCCAGCCTAGCTTGGTTTTTGGCTTTGATGAGCTCTTCCTCGATTTGTCCTCGCTCCACAAGGGCAGCAGATTTCACCCGGCTCAGTTCCTAATTAGAAAGCAGAAGACGACTGCATGACATCAGGGTATCAGAAGTGAATGGGAAAGACTTCTTCCCCAGACTCATCCAGCCTTTGGGTCCATGCATCTGGGACCAAAATCCCAGGGAAGACCCAGCCAGTGGAGGGTGGGAACAGGATGTAATTCAGAGAAAGGCCAACTATCACAGAGAGCTCTTTGCAACCGGGGCACGATACTGTGCCCCCCTCCGACTCACCTCCTCAAGATTGATGCGGGTGGCCTCCAGCCTCTGGATGCGCTCCTGCAGCGCATGCTCACTCGTCTCCAGGTGATGTGCCATGTGATTCACCTGCATTACAAGCAGCAGCAGCAGCAGTCAGGGGATACCTGAAGGAGCACCTCCTCTCAGGTATTCCTGCCCGATTGCGAAAGTCACTGATAGAGGCTCGGCTCGGCTCGGCTCGGCTCGGCTCTGGGTGCCACCCTCTGCCATGGTGCCATCGTTGGCTACCGGGGAGAGTCTGCTCTGTGCTGGCCCCCCACCTAGCGAATTCCCCTCCCATTGCCCTTGACAGTGTACGTTTATGCACCAGGTTAAGCCCTTCCTCTTCCAGCAGGCATTTAGTCTTTAATCTGTTACTCCGATTATCAGGGCAGTTCCTTATTATTTTTAATTTGTTAACATTTTCATTGTTGTATTTAGTGTTTCATTTGTTACATTATCATTTTGGGGGTTTTGCGATGGTAAACCTCCTTGAGAGCATCTGCCATTTGGCCAGTTCATAGAAAGAAAGGGACAGACAGCCAGACAGCCAGGCAGGCAGCCAATATAGCAGCACCTGAATGCAGTCCAGTTAACCCGTTCCTCTCTTTGGGAAATGGTGGTCCTCTTAAAGCAGTGTGGAGACAGAAGTAAATGTGACCCTGCAGCCACATCATGGCTTGGGATAGAGGCTTCTGTGCCTTATTTAACACCATTCCCTCCCCTGCAAAAGGGCCAGGTTTCATGCCACAAGGCCTGTGGAAAAAGGGGACCTGATTTAAAAGCATGGTGCCTCTACACAAGGTGGTCTGCTCCGCCCAGCAACTCTGTGGAATTCCAGGGGGGCTCCAGCCTTGCCAGGAAATTCCCTGAGGAGGAACACACTGCCTTGTCCCCCCCTCCGATCCTGGGGCACAAGGTCTGAGGGGAGGCAGCAGCTCCAAAAGCATCCTTCCACTTGTGCAGGGGCTCTGCCACTGGGGAATCCTCCAGGAGGGAAGACACGGGCCCCTTCCCCAGCCTTAGGGCCTTCCACTGGAGCAGTCCTTTGCTCCTTATTCAGTCCGATGATTCAGGGAAGACACACGTGCCCCACCTCGTACGGCACAAGATGCTGAAGGCGTGGGCAAGATGAATTGCCCACGAGTACAGCGCACGAGCCGGAAGCAGCAATGCCCCTCCCACTGAGAGGGGGCTCCAGTGTGGTCCCAGCAGCCCCCTCCTCACCTCCTTCAGTCGAAGGGATTCAGCATCCTCCAGGCCCTTTTTGAACCTCCTCTTCTCCATCTCCAAGCGCTCTGGGGAGAAAAGAGGGAGGAGCCCGCTGCCTCAGCCTGCCACCCCTTCTCCAGGGAACCCAGGCCCCAGCAGGCGCCCAGCGCTGCATGGCTGCCCCGCTCCCCACGCTCACCCTCAGCCTGCAGAGCCCGCAGTTTCATTTCCGCCGTCGTGTGGGTCAGGTCCTCCTTCACCTGGAACAGCTGCTCCTGCAGCATTTTGTTCTTTCTTTCTAACTCCTCCACCTAGAAGAAAGGCACCCCGTGAGACAGAGAGAAGCCTGATTCTTATACCTTTCACTGGATGAAAGCAACCTGGTGCCCTCCAGATGCATGCCCTACAACTCCCATCAGCCCCAGCTGAGGGAGCTCTGGTCCAAAACAAGCAGAGGACACCAGGTTGCCTCAGATGGTGGGAAAGACTGTAGTGCCAGCCATCCTCTGCCCAGCTGCTGCCAAAGGCATTGGCATGCCACCCCACCATTCCCCGCTAGCATGGGGAATGTGGCTGATGGTGCTTGCAGTCCAACTCAGGAGGAGGAGGCCCGGCTGGGGAAGGCTGGTGTAGAGCATTGCGTTGTGGTTCATCCCAGGAGTACTAGGAGGGCTGAGGGGGATTGTCGGGTCCGTGTGCTTCCACAGGTGCTCGAGCTGCTCCTCTTACCTGATTCCTAAGCTGAAGGTTTTTCTCACTGGTTGCAGAAAGTTCACGCTGAAGCCTCGCCTCTCGATCAGCAGCATCCTACAAAGCCAGAGAGTGGGAACTATCAGTGGACTGCAAACCACCCAGAGGGCTTTGGCTCCGGGCTGGTATAGAAATGAAACAGGGCAGCCATCATTGTCCTCATCAGCAATTCTTCCTCTGCCCCCATCTCCACTTCTTTGTATGCTCTCCACTCCCAGAAACCCCCAAGTGCAGCTTGAGCACGGCCTTCCTCCCAGGAACTCCCGGCTTCTGTCCCCCGGCCGCAGATTTCTCATGCATTCACACACGCCCCCACCCAGTGCCAGGGAATCCTAGCCTACCTTCTTACACTGCTGCAGCTCCTTGGCCTGGCTCTCCGTCTGCTTCACCTGCTCCTGCTTTGCTGCGCTCAGCAACTCGCCCAGCTCACTCGCCTTCTGCTCTGACAGAGCCAGCGCGGCCTCCATCATCTGGAGCCTGCAAGGCAGGAAGGGCCACGTCAGCCTCGCGCAAGACGGCCAGGCGTCTCCGTGGGCTCCCTGCAACGCGATAACAGGAGTAGGCACGCCTGCACCCACAACCGGGGAACGAGTGCCTGACCAGCTGGGCCCAGAGTCAGACGGCCAAGAACTGAACTGCCTTTCATCTTCCCTTCTGTCTCCACAGCTGCTCTTTGCAGTGTGCCAGTCAGAGGATGGGGAGAGCCTTTCTCAAGGCGAATTAACCTAGCACCTCATTCTGTGTGTGACTGATGCCAGTTAGAGTAGTCGTCTTCATGGTTTAATCACTGGGAAAATAGGCATTCACCAGCCCCAGACAGAAGTGAATAGCGATGCCCACACAGCTGAAGGATACCTGGCCCACACGATTGCTGCACTTGGACCCAGGCTAAGGAAGCCCCTGTGCTGCAGCTTCTCTTCCGCAACCGCCGGCTAACTCCGAGTGTGAGGCTGAGGGACGGCCACCCCCACACAGACCAGGAATGCTGCTCCCGCTGGAGGCAGTGCTGGCAAGGACAGCCCAGTTTTTCCAACCCAGCCCCCCACCTGTCCCACTCCCAGGGACCTGCTGCTCCTTACTTCGCTTTTAATGCATTCACCACAGAGTGCTGCTCAGTGAGGGCCTCCTGCAGCTGCCCGACCCGCGCTGCTGACACCCTGCGTGGGGAACAGAGAGCGAGATCCAAGTATGGAACTGTCCAGAATGATGTCTTGCATCATGAGCGGGGGACGAGGGGGTAGCAGAGTTGCAGCGCGAGAGGAGATGAGCACTGGTTAAAACGGGGCAATGGGTTTGACAAGTCAGGAGGAGGGTTTTAGCAGGTTAAAAATGGTATATTCTATGAACTGTTGCTATGAGAAGCATGGTGCTTCCAGGTGAAGGTGGTAACCAATCAACCCCTCCCTCTAACAGAACAATTTCCACTCATGGACCAGGGAGGCAGCATTTCTCCTTTCCCACATGCGATTCCCTGTGCACCCTCATAAATCAGTTCCAGAAGGTTGGGGAATAATCCTGGGTAGATTTTGGGACTTTGAGGGGCTGCAGAGGGGAGGAAAAAGGAGAAAGTTCCATTGAATGAGCAGAATTCCAATTGTAGAACAGTGGATTTTGCCCATAAAATACGTATGTATTTGAATATACAACTATTCTAAGTTGAATAGCAATGATGTTTTGGCCTGGGATGATGTATCCCATTAGCCATATTGAAAGATCACCAATACTACTCAAAAATTGGTGTGGGATCCACATTTGACATTGCACATCATGTTGCCAGGTGTCCTATCACCAAGCTTCCCATTTGTTTCACCAAGAAGCATTCCTGATTTAAATGGCTGATTTAATTGCAAGCCACCTCTATTAATACATTATTTTCATGAAGTTAATGAACACTAAGTGGACAATTTCGGGTGCCCAGGGCACTTTAAACCCCTGCGAAGAGTTCCCTAGGCTGCAGTCCTGCTATCACAGCAAAAGATGGGTGGGCTTGCTATACAGATTCAGACAAAAATTGCTGCAGAACTTTCAAAGGGACAAATTAGGCTTCCAAACCACTGTGGAAGCTAAACCGTTACACACACACACACACACACACACACACCCCGTACTCAAGGACAAGTGGCAGGGGGAGCACAAACACTTGCGTGCTGCCTGCCCCTGCTTCAGATTCTGTCAAGAGCTGGGCCGCCTGGGCCCAGGAGGAGCAGCAAGATCTTGCACCCCACTCACCTGCTGCTGCGGTTTATTTCCTCTCGCTGTTTGTCAATGGTATCCATCAGACCCAGGAACTGAAAAGCAGGTATGTAAGCATGTAAGAAACATCCTGCTAGATCCAACCAAGGGTCCACCTAGCCCAGCACTCTGTCCACTGAGGCCGCCCACCGGATCCCACAAGTGGGATGTGAATGCAGCAGCCCCCTCCTGCCGAAGTTCTCCGGCAACCCATGTCTGGAGGCACACTGCCTCTGAGAGCAGAGGTGGCATATCATTGCCATTGAGGCTCATAGACCTGATAGCCTTCTCCTCCATGTGTTTGCGCAAACTCTTCCAAAGCCCTTCGGATGGTGGCCATCACTGCATCTCGTGGAAGTGAATTCTCCACGTTAAACCAGGCCTTGTGTGAAGCAGTACTTTTGTCCTGAAGTTCTCACCAGTCAGCTTCATAGGCTGTCCCTGGCTAGGTTCTAGTATTATGGGGAAAGGAGAGAAGTGCCTTCCTCTCCTGCTTCTTCACACCATGCACCTCTTCAACTCCATACACCTCTGTCATGTCTCCCTTACGTGCCTTTCTTCCAATCTGAACAATCCCAGCTGCTGCAGTCTTTCCTGAGAGGCAGTGCCTGGGTGTTGCAATCCAAGGACAGAATGAGAACAATCCTCCCTAGAGCCCACTAGACCATCCGCTCCAACACCTCTCTAATTCTTAGACTGTTCAATGTAGCTGAGTGTCAGATCTCAAGGAAGAAAGGGTACTGTAGATCAGGATCACTCTCCCTTGCAGCTCAGGGGCATCATCAAATAAGGTTAGGAAGCTGCGTCTGCCAGCCAGGATCCCTCAGACCCTGCGGCAGATCAGTCCTGAGAGGGGCAGCGGCATCTGGCGCTCTTCTGCCTGACGTCTGCCTGGATAAAAAGGGCAGCACAGCCCCACCACTGCTTGCGGCCTGTTGCTGGAAGATATGAGGGAACCCAACCCTTTTCGGATTCTTAAGAAGTGTTGTAGCTGCTGTTTTGTGGTTCAGCCTACAAGACGAGCAGCCAGTCACAATACATCAGGATGTCTGTGGAGAGAGAGCACTCCATAGCCTTGCATGTAGGGGGAAAAGCCACTGATGGGGGAGAAGCTCACCTCACCTGAGCCCCTCTTGCTCAAGGGTACTTGAGACTCCATTGGCAGCCATTTTCAAAGGCACTGCTCACCCCCCACCCCCCACCGCACAGACACACTCCATTGTAAGCCAGTGGAATCACTGCCTGATCTGCACAGGGGAGAGAAAATTTAGAGGCAGCAAGAGCTGGGCAAGGCCTCCGAGCGGCTTCATGGGTCCCACAGTGCTTCCAGAGGCTGCGCTGGAGATGCCACATTTACACTCACAGACCCCGTCAAGCCCGAGTGTAGCCAGGTTAACATACCTGTTTTGCTTTCTCCTCCTTTAAGCACAGCACCTCTTTGCTGAGCACTTGCGTCCTGCTTCGACTCTTGCAGAGGATGTCCTGGCGCTCTTGGTTATGTTCCATGGCTTGGCCTGGGCCAAAGAGAAAGAAGCAAAGCATTCAAGATTAAACTCTTTCCATCAAATGTTCTTTGCTCCATGGGACTGCAGAGACGCTCAGCTATCTCCACATTTTTTCACCCAGAAAATGCAGCTGTTGCCACGGACATGTTCCCTCTGCACCTTGAACCAGAAAGGGAGCATAACATAAGAAGAGCAAAGCCAAGTTCCACCTGGTCCTGTCTGCCACACTGGCCAATCAGATGTGTCTGAACAGATATAACCATCACTGTGATTTGTACGCTCCAGACAAAATGTCTTCAAAGTGGGTCAAAGAACAAGTGTACATATAAGCACATAGTTATACTATTTAAAGGAACCCTCAAATGGGACACGAGGATAATAACTTTCCCCTCCCAACCTCTCTGCTCCCCGATATGTGCCTTGGGTCCAATCCTGTGGGGATGCCTATTACATTCCACACGCAGAGGATTAAGAGCATTGCAGCACAGAAGTGAGCACAGAAGTGAAAGCTGCTTCCATGCTCCTTTCACTCTGCAAACATTTAGACAGCCGGTCCTGGTTGCCAAAGGGTAGCATGGTGGGGCATGAGAGAAGGAGACGGAGGCGATTCCAGGATATGTGGTGTGGGGGCAGTGCTGCTCTCCTTTTCTCCCCACACCCTCAGAACGCTCCCCAAAGCCCTTCTCTGACGTCACTCTTCTGACCTTAGAGACGTAGCCAGCACCGCTCCTTCTGTACCGGCTATGATGGCAGTGAGGGAGATCTGAGCTACAAGGTCAGGGTTTTTTCCAAGCCCACAGCTGAGAATCCAAAAAGTCCTATGGCCACTTAGAGGCTGCCTAGAAGCCACAGGATAGCACTACTCAAAACTTCACACTTCCCTCTCCAACACACTCCAAACCGTGCATATGCTCCCAACTTCAGAGAGTCAGGAATCTCTCTGGACGTTCTGAGTTTGCATTTCATTGGATCTCACACTAGATAATGCTTTGATTTCCACCCTGTTGAACAACGAATTGGGTGCATTGCGGCCTGCTGCAGCCCTTGAATCTAGAGCTCTAGAACCTAGGCAGAGTTACTCACCTACAGCCTTCAGGATGTCACTGGGCACATTGTTCCCAGCCAGTTCCAGTTGTTGCAGTGTCCGGTTGCTATGCAGACAATTCAGGAGTGCCCGGCCCCCCAGGAGTCCGATGTTATTCCAGCGCAGGTCTAAGTGAGAAGCAAGTCATCCCACAGGGACATCCATTAAAACACAAGGGCATGTGTTCCCAAGCACTGGAACACCAGCAGCTGGAACTGGGCTACCTTTGGATGAGTTAACTGAAACAGGAATTCATACGGTTCCGTGACTCCAATTTCTGTTGCTGTTCTGGCTCATGTCAAGTGTCGAATTTGTACTGGATAGAGAAAACTTTCCTGAACAATTGCAAGCACGTTGGAAAAGCATCCCACTCTGCCCCCTTTTTGCAGAATTAAAAGTGCAAATGCCCACTGATTTCTTCAGGTTTTGGTGCACCTGACTCCACACAGAAGTCATATCCCAAGCCAAAGAAATAAACCCCGGCACCGGAGCCTGACCTCCCCTTCCAGCGTGTCACTTCAGCTGCCTTTCCAGAGAGCAGCTTGGAAAATGAGGTTTTTCAACAGATGCCTCACAGCCAGATATCACTTATGTGAGTGCAAAAGGGTGGGGTGGGGTGGGGGGTTGTCAGAGGCTCAGGGCCCCCCATCTAGAAGGGTGGATCCCCCAACAGAGTAGCATTGTGCAAGCTCAGCTTCCTTTTTGGGACTCGGATTCTTATGTCCCCAGTTTTGCAGAGAACAAGGAATGAGCAAGGAAGAGGCTGCTGCAAGGTGCATTTCTGGGCTTGAGAGGTACCATGAGAAGACAGGGAGCAGAGCCTCTGTCTCCAGAGTCTCCCTCAGACAAAGAGGGACTCCTTCCCCAGCCCAGCGGCTCGAGATCCTGCCCTCTCCAGTCAGGCCAGTGAATGGCGCTTAGGTGGCCTGAATGCAAATGAGATGTTCAGCCCCTTTGCTTTGGCCCTGTCAGCTAATGCAAGGCTATCTTCAGGGCCTCTTCTCAGGGTGTACAACAACCGTGTGATGGGCGGTAACCTCCTCTGTCACGGCCCCCCACCTCCACCCAAACACTCAGGCACCAGCCCTTCTTCTCTAAGCAGGCCTTTAAACCTTCAATCTGTTACTCTGGCTATTAGTTTTACTGCTGGCTCGTCAATATTTTTAATTGTTCTAAAGTTTAATACTGTATCACTCTGATACTTTGATTGTTACTTTGGGCTGTTTTGCTTCGTTGTTGCTGTTGTTGTTTCCTTTTATGATTGAACTGTCCCAAAGGAGTTCATCGGTTGAGTGGTAATAAATCCAAAGAAATGTGACGAAACAAGCATTTCATGAAATGCTGCTTATGGGGAACCAGGAGGGCAATGAATAATGTTCAGCAGTTGAAGGTGCCAGAGCACAAAGCACAAGCCAGGGCAGGAAAGCCGTGCCTGCAGTCACACAGTTCTGTGTTCTGCTCGCCCAGACCTGGTTGGTTGGCAGTGGGCGAATGCACGTGCTTTCGAACAGAGAGAGCGCAACACCACACCCCTGCGAGCTGACAGATGCGGCCAGTTGCCCCAGAGCCACGGCCTATTCTGCAAAGGCGGCCCAGTAGCATTTGGCAGATGCAGCGCATTAGGCGATCCTCCCGGGATGAAAGTGGGACGCTGTGCCGCTGGCGCAGGCTCAGCACAAGCAGCTGTGCAGAAATCTTCTGGTGCAGGTGCAGCCCATTTCTCTGGCCAATGTAATAAGTGCAGGTGGCTGCTAGTTAGTAAGCCAGTTTGCCTACTACATTCCCGAGAGGGTGGTTGTCATGCCCCTGAGTTAACAGGGTGGTGGTGGGAATACTTTTTGTTGCTGAGAAAGAACAGCCTTACCCAGTTCCCGTAGAGTGGAATTACCCTTCAGGGCCATGGCCAGCTCCCCTGCCCCCTGATGGTTGATCTGATTGTTGCGCAAATCCAGGCACTGGAGGTGGCAGTTGGCGCGGAGGCCCTCGCAGAACAGGGCAAAGCTTTCTTCCCACACGCCCAGGTTGTTCCATTCCAAGGTGAGGCTGGGGGAGCAGAGACGACACAGGCAAGCACATTCAAAGCAAGCACCTCGGAGAATCACAGGGCATCCTTGGCTCACATTCTGCCCCCATTCTGTGTCCACACACCGTGAGTTAAAAGGAACTGCAGCCCCACCACGTCTCCCCGGCATGGCTCACCTCCGGATAGACTTGTTTTGCCTGAGCAATTTCCCCAGAGCCTCGGCCCCCACAGCTCGCAGGTTGTTTCCCTGAAACAAACCAGGCTCAGTCAGTGTCCTGCTACATGGAAGCACATCATGGAAACATAGAAACAGAGTGAGTCAGAAGGGGCCTCCCAGGCCATCTAGTCTGACCCCAGCTCCAGCCAGCTCTGCTCAAGTCATGCCTACCATGTCTACCACAGCAGCACTACAAAAAGCTAGGAGCTGCTTTGTACAGCTTCACCCAAGGAACCGTGGGCATTAGGCACTCGTAGTGGGTGTTGCGGTTCTTTTCACCCTTGCAGAGCTACAATTCAAGTTGATTTTCATGCTTTTATATTCAGTTGTTTTGAACAGTTGTTTCTATGGTGCTGCTGTAATGCACCATTTTTGTATCCTTTGCATAGAAAGGTAGAGTAGATATTGTATAATTAAGTAAACAAATGCCTAGGATTCCTCTGGGGAGGCGGCTGTGGCATGCAAACCAGTGCAAGTCTGTAAAGAGGCAGATGATGCATGAGTAAAGTCTGGGCTAATAGCACATTCCCACTTACACAAACAAAAATTTGCCTCTCTTGGCTCATATGGGGATTATGAAGAGTTAGAGCATTCATAACAGGGCCTGGTTCCAGGCTGTTGTCTTGGAGCCAACATTTTCATTCTAGTGAAAGGATACAGTTGGTGAATCAGGAACTCCACCTCCTCTCCCCCTTCCTGCCACCCCCCATATGCCCTCCAAATTTGCTCCTCTCCAGAGGAAATCTGGAGAGTTCTCAGGAGGCTGCAAGTGGGAGGACAGGATGCAGAAGTCCCATTTCACCAGTGACAGTCTTCTGGCGGGAATGTCAAAGCTGAATCCAATGCAAAACATACAGAAAGAATAACAGCTGAAAAACAAGTCACTAGCCTTTTTTTCCTTCTTGGTCCCTTGATTCTGATTTTTGCGTTACATTTTAAATTTTAACTTTGAATCTGTGAGAACCAGATTGAGCTGGAACTCTCAAAACTTGAGCGGGATTCCAAAGGTTGCACAAAAGTTTGCTTCCATGGTCAATAGGAGGGTGGGCAGCATATGACCCTCCAGAAGTTTGGGCCTACATTTCCCATCAGTCCTAGCCAACATAGCCAGTAATGAGGGATGATGGGAGCTGTAGCTAAAGCGTCTGAAAGACCACATGTGCTCAGCCCTGGTCAATAGGTTTGGACTAATGACTGATTGTACTATCTGCCACAGGACAATAAGATGGATTAGAACGAGCTTAGACTGTCTTTTTTGCTGAATTCTTTTCTTACCAGCAAATTACCTATTTCCAAAAGTGGGAGTTTTAGCCTAACATAATGTTTGGGCTGTAAAAGACTCACCTTCAAGTCCAAGGATTTCACAACTGTGTTCGAACAAAGTCCATGTAGTAGTAGTTTAGCCCCTGCAAGGGAAAGGACAGGTAGTTCATCTTTGTCTCTATAAAATTACAGCTTTAGTCCCAGTGCAAAGAGAAAGTCTTTGGAACAGCTTAAAAGACTAGCAGGTACATTGTGGCAGATTGGTAAGCACCTTTAAGGTGCCACAAGGCTGATTTGTGTTGAAAACAGACTAACACTGCTGCCCCTCTAGAAATGCATTCCTGACAAATTATCAGGATTTGCTTCAATTTAATGAACAAGCTGCCTTTGAAAGAAATCCCACTCAGGTAACTCTTTGAAATGTACTGTGCAGAATAACAAAAACCCAGTTTAGAGGAAATAAGGGGGGCAAAAGTCAGAAGGAGAAGAGGCAATGAGTATTGGCTTTCATCCCCCATTGTCAGGAAAGGAGATAAATCGAGGATTGCCTTGTGCACAAACAGAGCCCACCTTCTTCACTCAACATGCAATCGCTCAGCATTATCTCAGTGAACTGGAGCTCATCTTGTAGGAGCTTGCCCAGGGCTCCACATGTATCCACGGAAAGGCTCTGTGTCGCAAAATCCAAGTGGCTTCTCCCTGTTGCTTCCTCCAAGTGCTGCAGGATGCTCTCCTGAGGCTCGGCGCCACTCTCCTTGCATAGCCTGGCATAGGACCGTCGGATATCATCCATCTCTGTGGCAGGCATTCGTGTTACTCCTGCCCCTTGAGTAGATGCAGAATTTCAAAGGAGATCCCAGCATGAACAGGCAGCAGATGGCACAGCCTGGGGGACAGCAATGGTCAGAGGTTATTGCTGTGGTACATGCTGCTTCATGCTGTCTTTTGGATGATTGCACTTCAGGATTCTAAGCCCCACCTGAATTCACCAGTAATGGCACCAGCCCTACCCATTTTATCCCAGAACAACAAGCACCTAGATGAGCAGGCAGACCTGTTTCCGAATGCTTACTGAAGGTTGCTAGAAATACGGACTCACCCGTCAACTGCCAATTCCAACCTGTGTAACTACGGAAAACAGAGCATGATGGGTATTGTAGTTAAATTTGTCCTCTCCCAAATCCTGAGGCATGCTGGGAGATGTAGTTCAGAGGCACCACTGACTATTTCCGGGACATTACTTTTCTCCATTGAGTTCTTGCTTTATACATTGAACTATATGTATAAATCTATCCTCAACTTAAATAAAGGACTGCTCTTGTTTACCTGGATTTCTGAACTAAGAAATGAAATAGCAGCGTTGGTACAATCCAATGTCCAACATAAGGGACACTAGAGATATGTTTAGTGCCTGCTCATTGATTCATTGATAGTGCATTGATTGTGTTTTCAGAAGCCCTGATCAGTGGAGTAAGATGCAACCCTTAAAAATAAACCTCTGGCTAGTCTAATGTGCTTGGCTGCTGTACAAGGCTCTCAAAATGCAGTGTGTAGGTCTGTGGAGTTGTTGAAATCTGGGAATGCACATTCAATAGAACTTAAGACATCTGGCAACCTTGTCTATTTTATGCATTAATTTTATTTTATTTAAACTGGATAGGTGGAGACGGTCTTTGGAGTAGAAGAACCAAAAGGCTGCCTTTCTCCCTGGATTTGCCTGGGAGGCTCTGGTCTGTGCAATTTAAAAGTTTTGCAACCTATGAGACTGCCGTATGAAATTATCAGGAACCCTAACTTTTTATTTTTAATACATACATGAACATCAACAAGAAAGTTTTTTGATCCTCAAAACTGAAACAGTTTAATATGTAGGTTTTTCTTTAATGCCATCTAATTATTCAGCCTCTCCCCAACATCATCCCAAACTATCCTGACAATTTCAGTCTTATCTATATGAAAGCCAGTGTGGATTGGTAGTTAGAATTCTAGTTCTAGATCTGGGTTCTAGGTCCCACTTGGCCATGAAGTTCACCAGGTGACCTGGGCCAGTCACAGACTCTCACTGCAACTACCTCAAAAGGTTGTTGTGCAAATAAAATGGAGCCATGCAAGCCACTTTGTGTTACTCTCAAGAGGAAAATACTCTTTTGTATTGGTATATAAATACAATGTAATAATAATACATTTTTGTTTAGTTATTTATTAGATTTATATGCCACCTTTTTCTTTTAAAGACATCATAGTGGCTTACACCATTCTCCTCCTGTTCTCTCAATCTTATCCCCACAACAATAACCCTGTGAGGTAGGTTGGGCTAAGAGTCTGTACCTGGCCCAAAGTCACCCAGCTGGTTCCATGTCTGAGTGGGATGGAACTCAGATCACCTGAGTCCCAGTCCCACACTCTTAACCACTACATCACACTGGCTCTTTTCTATCTTAATAACTATGGATCTTGCTGTGAACCTTCCATGCACTCATTTCCATTCAGACCACCACAGGCACACAAAAAACCACTGTGGAACAAGTGTGGTATGGGGAATGTTGTTATTGAATTTAGGGAAGAGGTGGCTAAGCACATTATTCTGGTCTCAGGAATGTGTAAGACGTGGACTTCCAAAGGGCTTATACTAGAATACATTCTTGATAGTTGAAATTTGAAGAAGGAATATATGTCACTGGATTTCTTTGTTCTGCACCTATTTGTATGCAAACACCTGACCTACTGGAGAGGTTCACACCAATATCACCCTAACAAGAGAGCACTTCACCTGTGTTTTGCAGAGCACCTATCATACAGGTGCCACAAAGTATGCATGCCTTGGTGATGGAAAAACTTTGGAATGACTTCAGAATCAGTAGCTTGTAGCCTGCAGCCCAGTATCCCAAATATAATGTTTGGTCCTAAGTCACATAGAATTCAACGTAATGTGCAGAGAAATAAGATTAGAAATAGGGCCTAAAAGTCCAGTCCAGGGCCTGTTTGACTTGGACCTACAAATGAACTCAATGGAACTCATTTTCAGGTATGTCTAGGACTGTGGCACTGCAGGCCAATTCTATGCCGGTTTCCTCAGTGAATGCCTCCAGGCAGAGGGCTCCTAGCACTATCAGTATGGACACATTGTGCAGCTATTCCTTCTTTTCTCTCTCAAGAGATTTTCTGCAGTAGGAGAAAAGGTGAAATAAGTGGTGGCAAACCACAGAGGTTACAAAGGGAAGATGCCATCTGGATGCCCCCTGAAATTCCATTGATGGCACCACAGAAACCTCACTTAGAAACGCCCAGTAACTCCCACAGAGTTCGGTGAGACTAGATTGGCAGCCTCGGATCATAACCTTACCTGGGAGTACATCCTACTGGACTTAAACGTATTCTTGGACTTAAGTCCCACTGATAAAGTTCCAAATAAGTGCTTTACGATTATGATCCAGTAGGGCTAATGGTGAATACTCTCTTCGTCGATCCTAATGTCGTTCCCATAAAGCGGAACTCATTGCAGAGCAAACGTGGTCCCGCTCGAGCGCCTAGTGGGAGCGACGCCAGAGGGATCAGAGCATGCTGAAGCCATGAGAGAGCGAGTGTTTGAGAAGAAATGCTGCCGCTCGCAGCAATGGCAAGGGTAGGCGTGGCTCGGCAAACGCCATTAAATAGCAAAGGCGCAAGGATGCCACAAACCGCTTTCGCAGGACTCGAGTCATGGCTCACGCATTTTTGCTTGCTCCCCACCCCCCACCGTTTCACTTCGCTTCCTTTTTCAGCTCCGATCTCCAAGGGCCATCTTCCTTTGTCCTCCATAAAAGAAGACGTTTAGTTTAACAAATCCCAAACTGCTTCCATGACTTACTTTAGCGATGGAACGGGAAGTCAACTACAACTCCCAGAATGCCTGACAGAGGCGCCCTTGTCCGCCATCGGAAGCGAAAGGAAATGGGGGGGGAGGCGCAGAAACTTGGGAGAGACTACATTTTCCAGCAGGCTGTGCGTCACGACGCGCGGGGTTCTTGGCCGTCTCGGCGCTCGACGTGCGCGGTGATTGGAAGGGCTTCAAGGGGTGGATCCGCTTCGAAATGGAGAAGAGGGAGCAGGGCGCGAGAAGCTTCAAAAAGGTCGGAGGAAGCGGGGAGAAAGGGGAGCTTGCTCTGGAAATTACCGGTTAGGATTGTAACGGGCTCGGGGAGAGTTGAGAGGGAAAGCGTGGTAGTTTGAAGCTCCCAGCACGTCAGGCCGAGAGAGCGACGCAGGCGGCGGCGGGCTCTGACCTGAGCGGAGTGGCTGAAATCTAGTTATGTTCGTCGAGTTCTGCCGTCGGGCTGTGGCCTTCCGCCCTTTACTGGGGCAGACGGACGATATTGCGGCAGTTTGGCAGGAGACGTTTGGGCAGTGGAGGCGTGGTTGACGCTGGGGACTGGAGGAGGGCGTGCGTCGGCAAACTTGGAGCGGCTTCTGTTCTGGGAACGGAGAAGAAGGGTGCCTAGAGAGTGGGGTGGCTGAAGGGACGGGCCTCCACATGTTTTGGTCTATCTGTGATTCCTCACCACTGGCTGCGCTGGCGAGGGTTCATGGGAGTTGTGGCCCTCCAGATGCTTTGGCCATCAAGTAGCCCCCCGCTGCTTAAAGGGGACGAGCTAGTGTTTTTAGTTGGGGGTTGGAAGGAGGTGGCAGAGGACCAAGGAGCCTCAAGTATAATTCAGGATCTGGGGTGATAAGTTTATTTATTGATTAAAACATTTTTATGCCGCCCCATTCGCCGAAGCCTCGGGGCGGCTTACAACAATACATTGGTAATATTAAGTCTTGTTGAACCCAGCCCGCTGCTTTTACCCCGTGCCTGGATCTGTAGATCAGCCAGTGCCTCCTGCCCACCACATCACACCTGCTTGCAGCCCAGTCGTGATGAGAAAACAGAGGCACTGATTTGCTATAGAAATGTGAGGGCTAAGAGTATAGGAATAATGGTGATAATGGGTGTTGTAATAATGGGTGACTTCAGCTACTTTCATACTGCTTAGGTAAAATGCAAGTCTAGATCACACACAAAACAGAGAGGAAGCAAAGAGAAACTGTGCCATGGAACTGGCTAGAAGGAAGGTGACCTTAAATGTGATTCTGGTGTCATTTTGGAGACAGTGTGAGACTGATGTGTTGTTGAACTGATTAGAAACACAGTGTTAGCATATGTTGTTCAAACTAAAAGTGGAGAGCTGTGTTAAAACTTAATTGCAGCAAAGTTTTAAAATACAAGTAGTCTTGAAAGGAAGAGTCAGCGTGGTCCCACTTCTCTCAGATGTCAGGAGACTATTTAAAATACAATTGCAGAACATTGAATTGTACCTTTCCTAGTCTTTTGATATATATATAAGGTTAAAGGCTAAAAGCTGGCTAAAGAATGCTGGAATTTACAGAACTTTTCTCTATCCAAACATTCACTGGAAATATGAAATAGTTGTTGTACATTTACAAAAATATGTATTAATGATTATAGTGCTCCACAAGTGTACCTGGTGCTTTACAGAATCACATACCAACACAGACAGATTCTTCTTTCCCCTAAAGGCCTTGGTGTCTTAAATACAGTGAAGAACTGACTAGGGAAAGGGGAGACATGGGTATAAGGATGTGACCAAATATTATTACATGTCCTTGTCATCAACACTGGCCTAAGTTAACATATGTTTGGAAAGTGGACAAAGTGATGATGATTTAAAAAAAAAAGACCCAAAAGAGAAATAGGAAATGGAAGGCCTATTGGGCTCCCATCAATACCTGGGGAATTGATGAAAAGAGTTATTAAAGTTATTATGATGAAACATGTAAAAGATCAAAACTTACAGAAGAAATGTCATAATAGCTCCTGCAAAGGGAAGTCTTGGTGCACTAATTTTAAAAGTTATTTAGGAATATCAACAAGTAAGTGAACAGTAGTGATCAACTAGACATTACATACCCGTACTTGGATTGCCAAAAAAGTATTTGACAAAGGCCTTTCAATAAGCTTTGCAATCATGGGCTAAAAGGACAGGTCCTTGTTATACGAAGAAGCTAGAGAAAGAATAGAAGGTGGGGAGTCTGTGTAAAAGGAAAGCTCTCACAATGAGAGGAAATAGGTAGGGGGCCCCATGTGGCTCTGAATTGAGAGTGGTGTTTAAGCTAATGAACAAATAGTCTGGAACTAGAGGTGAACACTAACAGATGCCATAACTTCACCAAAATGTTGGGAAAACCCAAACAGACTTCAAAGATCTGTAAAGGATTTCTTTAAAAAATGATGACTGGACAACAAAATGGCAGGTATGGGTTCAATGAATTGATTGCACCATGATGACACCTTAGGGCAAAATATAACTTATGTACTGATAAAGTTCACCTACTGTCACTTATATACTGCTAGCCTGAACTGGTTGGTGACTAAGCAGTAAGATGTTAACTCGGTATGCAGCAATGGTGAAAAAAGCAAAATCATACATGAGGAGTTACTTGCTAAATCTTTGGAATAACCCTTGCCTTCTTTTCTCCCTATATGCCCCATTTTTTCTTTCTATCATATTTTCTGAAAACAAATAAAATGATTTGGGAAAATAAAAGCAAATTTCATGCTTGTGTGAAAAGGAATGAATGACCCATAACAGAACACCTTTATAGAAGCTCATAGTGCTGCAGCTACATTTGGAATAATGTAGAGGGTTCGGGGCATCTCATCTCACAAAGGTGCAATGAAAAGTGATGGAAAGTGTATGAATATCTTCTGTAGGAAGAAAGGCTAATGACTAGGAGAGGAATGTGGGAGAGGTTTATAAAATGATCCAAGGCTTGGAGAAAATGGATGGGAAGAGCTTTTTCTCCTCTCATAGGATTAGAACCTGAGCTGTTCCAGTGAAACTGATTGTTAATTTAGATCTGAAACAGACAAAAGAAAAAAAATCTTCATCCCATGCACAATTAACTTACAAAATTCACTACCACAAGATGTGATGATGATGACTAGCTTAGATGGCTTTAAAAAAGCAGGTCAGGCTGTTTCAGGAAGGAGAGGTCTATCAGTGGTGAGCAGCCATGATGGCTGAATGGAATCTACAGATGCAGTAGCAATATGGCTCTGAATACCCATTTCTGGGGCAGGGTGGAGCACACAGCATGGTCGGGGCAGGGGTAGTGCCTTCACCTTCCAGACTTCCCAGAAGCATTGCTATCAAAAAAAAGCAAGATGTTAGACTTGATATGAGAGAGAGAGCATCTTATACAAATCTTTTGTGACCTGGTTGGACAATGACAGCCCAACATGAGTTGATTAACACTTAGGGTGCAGTGGTGTATGTCATCTGTTGTAATTAAATTTCAATACCACTCAATAGCTGAAGCTTTCTGGGTGGTTTACAACAATAACAAATATGCTCTTTGCCTGAGGTTTGCTGTAGCTTATCATGCCATTATTTAATGGGTAAGCAAACCTTGTACAACCCCAGTCTCTTTTAGGGTTATGCAAGAGTTTGTAGATACATAGAATAGTAGGACAGGAAGGGGCCAAGGCAGTCATCAGGTCCAACCCCTTCCTGGAGCAGGACACCAAGTCACAGCATGCTGTTCAGATGACTGTCCGCTTTTACCTTGAATGTCTTTAGTGTTGGAGAGCTCACAACCTCTTTTGGCAACTGGTTCCACTAGGAAGTTTTCCTGGTGTCTAGCTTGAATCTGGGGTGCTACAGTTTAAGTTGGTTGTTCCATGTCCTACACTTTTTATTTCAACAATATTTTAATAACTTTTAACATCAGCTTATAGGTTTTAATCTGCAGCCAGGGTGTATCTGGATTTTATTTGTATTATGTTTTATTTTATTTTATGTAAGCTGTCCCGAGGCTATGCGATGGGATGGCATACAAATACTATAAATAAGTGAAAAGAGGTCTTTTCCTTCCTCTTTGTGACAGCCTCTGAGGTACTTGTAGAGTGCTATCATATCCCCCTTGTAGTCTTCTCTTTTTAATTTTTTTAATTTAATTTTTTAAACATGCAAATACAAAAATCATATAATAAAAGGAAAAAAACACAAAAGAAAATATGTGAAAGAAAATCACTCCACCAGGACCATGGCTGTACAGTATATTTTTTCTTTCATTTTTCCACTCTTGCAGAAATACCCCCCTCCATCCAAAATTGCATTATATCTGTCAGAGGTTTAATTCCCTCCCCTTTTATTAATACATGTTCAATAAAGAGATCCCATATATTGTTACAATCTTTCTTCTTTATGAGTTTTTTCACTTTAATCTCACACGTCAACTTATCATTAACTACTATATTCCAAACTTTTGTATACCATTCAATTAACTGGAGATCCCATTTCTTTTTTCATTTCTTTGCTAGTATCAATTTTGCTGCTGTTACTGTATTCTTTTCACAAGGCCAGACATGATCAGTTCTCTCAGCCTCTCATCAAAGGGTTTAGTTTCCAGACCCTGGATCATCTTTGTTGCCCTCCTTTGAACCCTTTCTTGGTTTTGTGCATCTTTTAAAAACCTGGGTGCCCAGAAAGGAATAAAATCGTTTTAACTGTCAAATAGCACCCACCACCTTGGTTGGAACTGGGGTTTTCATGCTTATAACAGTCACCAGCAACCATTGTAGCTTCCTAAGAGTAATTTAATCCATGATGGGCAGTAGTGTTGTACAAATTGGCCCTTCTGTAGCTATTTGGATAGTTTGCTCCACATCTTATGCTATATACTAGTTATCTTCCTTTCCTCAAATGTTCCATTTGTGACCTGAAACATATAAAACAAAAAATCATAGAGAGAATGAGCTACAAACTTTTCAAAACCCGTCCTTCTGTTCTGTCACAAGAATCTGCTACCAAATGAATTAAATTCTTCAGAGCACTTCTAGTGAGATGCAGCAGGTTGCGCTATTGCCTGCTGGATTTTGCACATTTTTCTTCTAACAAGCCCACAAGGGAAAACCCAGAAGCCTGCTTGTGCCTTGCATAAGAATGCCTTTTAAAAACATGATATCAAGAAGCTAGCTGAATGCATTTGAAGCTAGCCTGTTTTTACAATTCAATTTTATGCTGAGTTTGGCATGCTTAAACCCTATGGTTTCAAAAGTCTTCCGGAAAAGGATGTAGCTCAGTGGCAGACAACATGCTTTACATAGAAAACATCCTTCGTGCAACTTCTGGCATCTCTAGGTGGGAGACGCCCACGTGAAATCTTGAAGTGCTGCTGCCAAATAGTGTAGACAATAGTGAGACAAAAGAACTGATGGTCTTCTGATTTGGTATGCAGGAGTTTCCACTGCTTCTGCACAGTGCTGGAATCTCACTTGAATAAGGAGCTAAGATTCAAACAGCTGCTTAACAGCTTTCTAGGTGTAGTGGTCATATTTATTTGGCATCATTAAACATTCTTTGCAATGGGATTAGGGCGAAACTCCCTTTTCTTCTGTGCTTCAATATCCGTGATCCTAACTTTAGCCTTCTGTCTCTACAGCTACCACTGATGCCTCCCCAGTGCGGCTGGTTAGGTCCCTTTTCATGAACAAATCTACACAAGCGAGTATTTTGTCTGGAGACAGCTTCTAGGAAGACAGCAAATTTGACATCTAAAGTATAGTTCGTAATTAAGTGTCCAAGCATAAGAGTTAAATCACAGTTGAAGGTTCTTTCATATGGCATTCCTGGAACCAAGAGATACTGTTAACCTACTCTGTAGGCAGAGAAGGGGCCTGTTGCACAGTTACAAGACAGGGGATGCCTGACTCAATGATTCTGCAAGTAAAAAGGATCTTGGAATTGTAGATCACAAGCTGAATATGAGTCAACAATATAGCTGCAAAACAGGCAAATACTATTTTGGAACAGAAATAAAACATCCACATCACACGAAGGATTGGTTCCCTTCTGCTCAACACTGCTAAGGCCTTATCTGGAGTACTGTGTCCAATTCTGGGCACCACAGCTTAAGGAAGAAACATAAAAACTGGAAGAGGTTCAGAGGAGGGCAACAAAGATGATCAGGGAGCTGGAAACAAAGCCCTGTGAGGAGAGACTGAAAGAACTGGGCCTTGAGAAGAGAAGTCTAAGGGGAAATACAGTAGCACTCTTTGAATACTTGAAAAGTTGTCACAATGAGGTGGGCCAGGATCTCTTCTCAATCATCCCAGAATGCAAGACACAGAATAATGGCTCAAGTTACAGGAAGCCAGATTCTGGCTGAACATCGGGAAAAGGTTCCCGTTTGAGCAGTCCAACAATAGAACACGTTACCTAGGGATGTCATGGCTCTCCCACATTGGAGGCATTCAGGATGCAGCTGGACAGCTGTCTGTCAGGGATGCTTTATCCTGGAGTCCTGCATCAAGTAGGATGTTGGACCAGATGGCTATATTGGGTCTTCCAATGTTCATATTCTATGACAGGGCCTCCATTGGTACAAGGCATACAATTCATTGCCACTTGCACATTCCAGCACCATCTAAAGTAGAAACACGGAAAGGGGGCAATTCTATTGTGCTCAAAAGTATGTTCCACACTTGAACCCCCTTGGTTGTCAAACTCCCATCATCAGTCCAAAGGATAATGATTGCTGTCCTGCCATTCTTCAGAGGCTGTTTTTAATAAATTTGAATGAATGAATGAATGAGAGAGCTGTTCTTCAAGGAAGAGTGGCCTTCGCCAGCTGAGACGACTGGTGGCAAAGAGGTGGTCACAGCGACAGAAACAAGATGGGTGGATAATGGGGCCAGTTATATGCTCTATATAGGGATGGAAAATTGGCATCCTTAGCTGTTGCTTCCAGAGAATGAGATGCAAATCAGGTAAGGTAATATATTTTACTTGACTAGTCTCTTTTGATGTATTCCTGCACCAACAGAAGTTGATCTCATAAAAGAGATTACTTTACCTGTTTTATATCTCTTCGAAATGGAAAGAAAAAAGGAGATCCACTTTTTCTCCATTAACACTCCTTGACTGATTCCCTTTCCATGCAGGAGACCGTGAACAAACTGCTCCAGTTCCACTTCAAAGATGACAAAACACGAGGTAATTGCTTTTCCTTCTGTCTCAATAAAGAGGCCAATTCCTGCTGGAGATCTTCCCAAAGCTTTCCTGTGGAGGGACCATGCCCTGGAATATCAGGATTAACCAAGATCCATGGTGGCTACCTGCTGATCCCCAGCTGGGCAGTTAACTATGCTATGGCTAGAGGCACTTGTCTCATGGTAATTATTTTTTCCCTTTTCCAGTCAGTGGTGATGCTGTATTGCTGGTGGCAGAAATGCTCAAAGTGTTTGTCCGAGGTAAGTTGTTAAGGGATGGGTCTTCGTTCCTTGGAATGGCAGTCACAGGTTGGTGGTAAGTGGTATCATTAGTACCTAATTCATGTTCCACTTTTTCTAAGCTCTAGCTTTCCTGCTAATCTAGAAAGCAATGCCAGCTCAGTTTGGAAATTGGAGAGGGCTAATCAGGGTTTCCAAGTTTTCCATGGCTGTTTTCCTTCCCTGGAGTCTTTGATTCCTGTGGCATGCCTTTCCTGGCTTGCCTGCACCTTCCCAGCCCAGCCCTTCCAGAAAGAAAATCACATTCTGCAAACTCCTAGCAGAAATAAATATATTGTGCTCAGAGCCTCATCTTTTCTTCTGATTTCCTAATTTGATTTTTGGCCTTGGTACACAAGAGGCAGAGTTTGAACATACATGTTGGATTGTGACTCCCAGCAATTCTGTGGCACTTAGACCTTTTCCATCAGTTTGTCCATGACATACCGTGTTCACTGTTAGGTGGCTGTGGACAGAACGGGGGCACCTGCTTAGTTTGGGGGAGATTTTCCTGGAGGTTGAGTACAATCTTGAGAAGTACTGAGTGGTGAGAATCCAGCATTTTCCTACAGTGAAGCTACTGTACTGGTGTTCCAAACTGCTGATTGCTGGAGGGCGAGTTGTGGGGGGGGGGGCAGGTTGGATGAAGCTGACAGGCGAAAGCCTCATAAAAATACATTCTCCTTTGGTCACTCCAAAGACTTCACACTTACCTAAGGGCCATTTGGTTTCTGCTGTCCTTTCCAACACCTACATGTTGTCTTTTGCTTGCAGTGTTTATATGTCTTGCAGAGACAGCAGCACGAGGAGCACGGCAAGCTCAGACTGAGGACCTGACCAGGGTGGATGTGGAGCATGTGGAAAAAGTGCTGCCGCAGGTGGTATGTAAAGCACAGCTCCAGTTCCTTAGTTGACAGGATAAAGGACATGGGGAAAGACCTCTTGATTCCCTTCTTTCAGGGGGGCATCTGACTGGTTAGTAATATCCTCAATGGGCACCTGGAACTTAAAGCAAATCTGTTAATTAATTTGGGGAAAACTTGTCGCTCACATGAACTTAAAAGTGCTTATATTTTCCACAGCTTCTGGACTTCTAAGAAATCTGATGGGGCAAATCCTGCATTCCTTTTCGCAGAAAAACGTTTGCCTGGCTAAAACAGACCACAGACGTGCACATGGACTTTGCTCTCTTCCAATGTAACTCTTCTCACGGGAACGATAGTCTGGTTAGTGCGCCTTCCTTCCCAGTCATCACGGTTTGTCTTCCTGGGAGTCCAGTGGCTGTCAGATGTTGCCCCAGGGAGGCGGACTTTCTACTCCCTTTGTGACAGAACGCATGGAGCAGATGGTGCCTTGCTGTCCAAGACTGCGTCCTGTCCTGCCGCTTCCCATTCACAGCTAGGCAGAGCCTCCACTTTTCCAATGGGAGAAACAGGTGCCTTCCTGCAGCGGTGTGTGGAAAGAGTGAGTCTGCCTGGATGCCTTGCCTGCGCCGTGGGCTCTCATCACCTCGGCAGGCGCTTAAAGGCCAGCTCCAGGCCTGCCTGCTGTCTGAGCTCTTAACCAGGAGCCCAGTCCCTGGCCTATGCCAGCAGCAGGTACCTGATCTTTATTTTATAAATAAACAGTGCCTGTCCCTCAATCCTTTCCAGCATTCCACTGGGGCCATGACATCAAAGAGTGCTTGGAACCTTTTAACCATTTGATATTCCTCTCAGAAGCTGCTTCCCTCTGCTATAAATTTGTTCTCACAAAGCAACTTCAATAAATCAAAAATAGTCTCCCTCCCTCGTGCGGGCTCCTTGTTGCAATTAATCATAGAAAGTCAAGTCGCTTCAAAGAGTTGTTTGGCCTCCCCCCACCCCCTCTTTGTAGGACGAAAGAAAAACTTTTTAAAAGGGGCAGAATAACAAACAGCATGTGTGAGGATCCCACATCACGCACGACGCAGCTCCTCCATCAGCAGGGGAGGGGGAAGCTGTGAAACAGTAAACCTTACACATGGAGGCAGGGCGTAGCCCTAATAAGTCTGGCTCTGCCGTGAAAGGATAGCTGGCCTGCAGCAGGGCGAGGAACGGCACCTTAAGGAAGGGGCAATGCAGTCCTTTGCAGATCTCCACAGCTCAGTGGGACTTGCTCCCGTCTAAGCATGTATAGGACTGCAGTGTGAGTACAACTCGAATCCAAGGAGGCAATGATATGGTCAAGCCATGATAAACAGCCGTGCTGATTGCTGCAGATAGCTTGCCAAGGAGACACTGACCGTCCCAACTTCTACATTTTTGTAATGAATAGAGACAAAGGACCACTGACTTGGTGTGCTGTTTACTCGTGAAGACGTAGGATCAGAGTTACATGGAATGTTGCTTAAGCTGGCTTGATGCTGTGATCCTTAAAGGCACAGTCTATAAATTAAGAGCCATTGTTTGGCTTTAACCATGGCTTGGTGTTACTTCTGGGTTAAGAGTCTATGCATAGGCATGCAAGGAGGTTTGCAAATGCTACTTAATACCTCTGGATATGTATATCAAAGGAAGAGAGGTGGAAATATGCATACTCTGCCTGACTTTCTACTTACAAATCAGAGTTGGAGAACAGAAACATCAGCTTTCACGGAGGTGGGACTATTGTTCATCTAGCCCAGTACTACCTACTCAGCCTTCTCCAACCTGGCATCCTCCAGATATGTTAGACTGCAGCTTCCATCATCCCCAGCCAACAAAGCCAATGGGTCACTGGGACATATGGGAATCGTGGTTCAACAGAACTAGAGAGTCCCAGGTTGGGGAAGGCTGTTCGAACTGTAGTCTGACTGGGACCAGTTCCCCAGCATCTTTTCCATCACCTGCTGCCTCTATCATAAACAGGTTTCAGGGACTGAATCTGTGGCCTCTTACATGAAAATCTCTGTTCTGCTTTTAGCTACAATCCTCCTTTTCTAGTTCGTAGAGAGCCAGTGCCATGGCTAAACGATTCCAGCACAATGCTGCCTTGTTGCAAAAAGCTTGTATTGCAAGAACGAAGTGGAAAGACCATTCTGTCTTCCACTGCCTTGTAAAAATTGTGTGACACGTCACTGATGTTCATGCACTCCCATCCTGCGCATATTTATGGGGAAGCTGAACGTAATGGGGCTTACTTCATAGTAAGTGTGCTTCAACTTACTGTCTTAAATACATCTCCATTAGACTTTTAGCCTGCCTTCTCTCCCCACCACCCACTCCTGCCCCATTTTAAACATCACAACATCCATGTAAAGTAAGTTAGAGGTGGGTGCCAGCTTTAGCCTATGCCTGGTTACTCTGAAGCAAGTCTGTGTAACAGTCTGACAGTGCAATCCTCTACATATCTACTCAGACATAACTTGCACTGATTACAGTGGGACTTACTCCCAGAGGAGCACACATAGGATTGCAGCCTTAGAGGCCATTTCTCTGCTGTTGCAAGCATCTTCTTCTAATGCGCAGAAGCAATGACTGAAAGGTCTACCTTCATTTCCACTTGTTTTGATGTAGCCTATTCCACACAACAACAAATGGTCCAGGCAGCTGCTTCACATATAGCTTTGACTTGTCTAAAAATAGGCTAGACACCACCACAGCAGGAGCTTTGGCTACACACACAACTTAATCCCCATTAGGCAAGGGGTGTGAATGTACTACAGAACACTCAATATGGATTTGAACACACATGTACCCTCAGCAAAGCTAAACTAAAACACATGTAGCTCTCTGATCTGGGTATGCCTGCACACTGATTCTTAACAGGGTTCAGTGTTTAGATTTCTCTAGGATAAATCCAAATTCTGGCCCAAACTTGGTGTTCTAAAACAGAAAAGGAGGTTTTTCATGGCATGCTAACCACTGCTTAGTCCAGGAATGGGATCAGAGGGAATTGGTGCTCTTGGCTCATTTCAGTTAGGATGCATGCCTACTCACACTTACTTGGGAATAGAGTCCCACTGGAATCAAGAGGACTAATTTCTGAGTAAACTTGCATAGGATTGTACTGCTAAGACCTCGATCTCCCACAGTGTTTTGCTGTACCTATTCCATTAAAAAAGCACACAACTTGGTTAGATGATACATTCATCTAGCACATCAAGGCTGGCAACTTGGACAAGAGTGGTATCTGCTCGTACAGTACAATACTTGTACAGTAGGTGTAGCAGGGCAGGCTGTGCCTTCATTTGCAAATGAGTAGGATTTTAATTCTGAGGCTCTGACAATAAGTACAGATGAGACATGGTCTATTAAAAGCACTAGCCTGACAGCAAATCAAAGTTCAGCTTCCTTCTTGAAGCACAGGCCCAATACCCTCTACTAGACCAGAAGTTGAATATTTTCCCTCTAGTCACTAAACTTCAGACTGCCTAATGTTTATTTCACAAATTTCTCATGGAAGAATCACTACAAGACTTTGCAAATGTGCAGGGAAAGGTGTTAAAATAACTGCTGGGTAGGAGAAAGCGGGCTAAAGAAAATTGATGCCATTGGCAATTTTTTTGAAGGGAGGAAAGCTTGATGATTTCCCTCGGCTGTAAAAGAACAAGCAGCAGCAAGAAGGTTCTTAAAGCAGGGCTTGTATCTATCTGCTGATCTGGCTTAGAGAAAGGCAGCCCTGGCTAAGCCAAGCCACCCAGAGCACATCTAGCATTTGCCATGGAGAGAATGTGTGCTAGCGCAGCAGAGAAACTGCACTCAAAAGGAAGGTTCAACCCAAGGAAACAGTGAAAGCACCCATCCTAATTGGGGATGTGGCATGCTTGTCTCTAAATCTTTTACTACAGCACAGAACTCAGCAGCATTCTGAATGCTGCCGCTTCGGGTTTTTAAAGAAAAGTCTCTAATAACATCTTGTGAGTAAAAGAAATGAAAGTAACTTTATGGTCAAATCCCAGGAATAAGACAGAATCTGGCATTTTAAGTATGAAAGTTCTGCCTCCAGGGAAGTGTCCCCAGCCTAACTACTTACTCACTCCCCCGCTTGTAATAAAAATACATCAGTAAACCAAAATTCTGTATTTTTAAAGAATACACACACCTTTCAACCAGAAGCCCATATGCTGATGTGAATAATCCATCCTAATAGCAGTGTGTGTGTTCTGTTTGAACATTTCAGTCCCGAATGCTGGCTGCTTGATTATGCGCCTGATCTACCTTGGTATCTTTTATACTGTAAGATCATAGGAGAAACCAGAAAGAAACTGGTGTCAACAGGAACTGGCCCAAAGGAAACAATTACAAATCACCACAGAGAGCAGATAAAAGATGTTTGCCAAGCTTCCAAACCCGAGAGAGACAGAGAGAGACAGAGACAGGCTTACTGAAGAACTACACAGACTGCTTTCTTCCAGGTTAGAGTTGGCACTGTGGTAGTGCCGCCTGCGTTTAATTTCTACCTTGTCTTCTGGAGCAGCCTCTGCCTCCCAGTACCACAGATGGCAGCATGGTGGGTGCCTGTATGCCTAGGACCCTTTGCATCTGCTGTTGCCTTACACATTCCTCTTCGGTGGCTCATTTTTGGGTGACATTAAAAGATCGGGTCTCTTGCTGTTTTAACTGCTTTCTGCTCCCTGTGCTCTAAGGCTTTTCTCCCTACCTTTTTTCTTCCCCTGCCCCCCCTCCTGATTTTCTTCAAAGTGGCTGGAAGCATTTGGAAGTAATTAGACCTGAAGGGAAATGTTGGCCAGTCTGGGAGACAATGACAAGTGCCAGGAACCCTTGGTGCCCCTTCCAGCCACTTTGAAGTTCATTCAGATGGTACAATGCTCTGTTTTCTTTGTTAGAAAAGTGGGGGCAGGAGGGAAATGGGCCATGTCAGACCCACTGAATAGAAAGCAGGTTACTCTGAACTGATAGAGACCCCTAGACAGTGGGTGGAGAGAGTGTACAATTCAAAGGGAGAATGACCAAAAGGCTTTCTCTAGCCAGCTGTCTTTAAGTCATCTCTACGAGTGATGCACCCTTACAGGCAAGTCATACACTTAGCACCCATCTAAGATGTCATCTTTCTGTTCATGTTGTTGGTGTCGTGCTGTCACAAAACAGGATCAAGACATTGCCAAATAAGAAGTGTCTTCCTGTACAGAAGAATTAGGACTTTTGAGTAGTATATATAGCACAGAGTTTAAGAAATTAGCTTAGCCTTGCAGTTATTTACCAAGCAGTAACTATGACTCTTCTATCTGTTCCTGTCACTCTTGGAGACACAGAAACCCTTGAAGGCCACAGATCCGTACAGTCATTACACTAGGATGAATGCATAGATGTTCATGAAGGACTGATATCCCTCAAGCTCCTGTTTTTAATTTTTACAGGATCGCCAGTTTAAATTCAGCAAAGGCTAGAGGAACACTGCTTTCAGTTTGCTTAGCACTGCACATTGCTCAGTATGGAGCAATGCAGAGCTACCATGCAGAAGGCATGTCCCTGCTTAGAGCAGCCTGTATGTCTCCACAAACAGTGCTACTTAGTTTGCCAGCCTGGTGCTCAGCCAGACGATGTACCTTGCGTCTAATGGAACGTGCGCAGCAACCCTGAGGGCCAAATAGAAACAAGGCTCTAGTGACAGAGGCTAGAGGTGAAATTCTTGGATCAGCACAAGATGAACTAAAACAAGAGTATCTACCAAATTGGGGGACAGCTTTTTTCTATCAGTATGTGCAGGTTTGACATTTCTTGGCACAAAAGCAAAAAGAGAACATTAAGTGGAGATGTTGATTATGAAAGGGGAAAAAGATCCAATAGGAAGTGACAAGAGTGGCGATTACTGTCAGACACACACACACACCCCAGTATTCTAAACCAAGGGTAGATGGGTATCTTAGGTATCACAATTATGAAACAAGATGCAAAGTGAATGTTTCTATTATTTTCTTTTGAAAATGACAGCAGCACAGTAAACATTATATGTCGATGGTATCTTTTCCCGTAGGCCCAATCAGTTTTACAAAACCAATTTAAATGTTGGAATGTCACACAAGGAATATCACATTTGTGCTTGGGTAGTAAAAATCTTAAGAAAAATGTTTTAATAGATACCTGGTTTAAGCTTCAACCTGGTGCTTTTGTGATATTGTTGGGAAAAACACTAAAGTGCTTAGTCATAAGCCTCTAAGTGGAAAAAAATGAGTAGTGCATATCAAAGAATACCTAGAAAGGAAAGTACTCTTTTGGAGTGGAAATTGACTATTGCTATGATTCCAAATGGAAAAAGAAGTTTTGAGTAATTGCTGCCCTGTTGGTTCCCTTTTTGCTACATATTGAAATAATCATTGTAAAAGTCCTCAATTACAAGAACATACTTTTTCCTGCTTAGTAATTTTTATATAATAATAAATATTTTCATTAATTGAAAACAAAAGTCAGAAGTCTGCAAACACTCAGATTCTGTTGCAGTTTTGACCAGAACGATTCCAAATAGCAATCCAATCTTGCCTCTTCATTCACACGTTACCTCAGAGGTGATCTTGGTAGGAAGAAAGGGGCCTTCTGACACAGTTTTGGCAACCTTCAGACAAGCCTGGTATCCCCGATGACCATGGTTTCAAACCTCCCTGGACAAGGGAACCAAAAGCTCTTGAGACTGCTGCTGGTGGTGTGGTCCTTCAGGCTATCTGAAGGAGTGCCTTGCCACATATGTGCCTACCCAGACCCTAAGGTCTTCTGCAGGAGCCCATCTCCAGGAGCCCCCTCTAAAGGAAGTAAAGGAGGATAGCTACCAGGAGAAGGGCCTTCTTGGTTGGAGCATCCTGATGATGGAAGGAGTTCCATAAAAAGGTGCGCCTCAAGCCTACTCTTCATCCTTTTCAGTGCCAGGTGAATACCTTTTTATTCTCCCCGAATTTTAACATCTAACATTTTAACCTTGGTTTTAATATGGTATTTTGCCATGCACTGCTGCTATACCTCTCTGCCGCCTGGGTTGCAACTGCTGCGATCTTAATGTTTTAAGTCTTTTTCACTGTGTGTTTTTTAACTTTGTTAACCACCCAGAGAGCTTCAGCTATGAATGAATGAATGAATGAAGCCAGCCCACCCGCCCACCCTCACTCTCTGGGCCCAGTGCCCCCTGGAGGTCAGCAGTGGATAGTTGCTCCTCTGCTCCTCCCTGCTGGCATCACTGCTGGGGATTGGCCTTCAAGGGAGGAGCCGCTGGTGGCAAGGAAAAAGTAGCAGCTGCTATCCACCTGTGCACCTGGGCAGGGACAGCACTGCTGTCAGGGCCAGCACGAGTGTATTAGAGCAACTAGACACTCCCCTAAAAGCTGCAGATACATGCGCAGGAACTGGCAGCACTGGAAAATGCTACAGGCAGGAATATGGAGTCCTATCAACCTGCAGACCCACTGGCCAAATAGTGGAAATCATGTGGGTCTTCCAAGGATGCGGAAGAGCCTATTATAGAATAAAACAGGCAAGAAGTTTTCTTGAGGCCCAGGATTAGGGAACACAAGAGCCAAGAGAGATGCTTCATTGGGGACTCCATGCCATGGAAATCCCATCGTGGATCTGAAGCCCAAAGCATGCTCTTTGCCACAGTAGCCTGCTTTCCTGTTCACATCCACTATTAATACATCAGGCACAGAGACTATAGCCAGAGTAAGAAACTGCAAGCGGTCTGGAGATTATTTTTGCCTCAGCCCCTCTTGCAGACACTTTTAACAGCCTCTATAGCACTAAAAGAGTCAAATAACCTTAATTTTGCAAATAACCTTAATTTTGGCACTCTATAACCATTTTTAAACCCCCCCCCCCAACTGTAGGAGACAACAGTAGTTACATGTTACCCACCTCTGAACTATAGCAAGGATGGCCAAAAGCACACTTTGTTCACTGCAACTGTTTAATGGCATTTTAAAAGTATCAAATGATTATAATGAAAAAGACTTTGAAATTATATGATTTTTGCTGTTACTCTATTGTCTGGAGCAATTTTGCAGAGATCTGCTATTTTATTACCCCAAATACTGAAAGAGATCCTTATTGAGACTCAAATTGAGTAGTGCCAGGTCTTAAGTAATCTCTCCATTCTGATCTATCAGTCATAATTAAAATTGTAGATAACATAGGTATCACTGAAAAAACAGCATCCAGGGACTTTCAGGCATGAAACCTATTGGCTAGAGGAAGCAAACCTTCAACATGCAAGATGTCAAAGATTCATAAAGTAGAGAGTGATTGTCCACAAACTGACTAAATTTCATAGTCATGTATGCCCAGAAACTGAATCCAAGGATTACATGACAAGCACTATTGCTCTGCATAATCAGCACAGGGGTGGGCAGATGTCAGGCCAATGTTTATTAGGATTCCAAAAATCACCAACCAGAACCTGTGCAAGAGTTGTCTACATTTTCCAAGCCAGAACGGGAGCATATGGATGGCATTTAAGATGTGGGTACAAACTAACATGTATTTGTATGTAAAATCTTTGATTTTATTAGAATCAACCAGAGCTGGCACAAAAGGCATACAGTTAAAATTAAAGAATTCTGGAATTCTGAGGGGCACCAGAGCGAGCTTTCAGTCTATCTACACACAACTCCACTCCTGTGTACTCCAAGCTTCTGTTATTCCATCAGAATAATATAGTGAGAGTCATTTTGCTGCTGTTATATTGTTAAACAGCTGGGACTCAAAAGTCCTGGCCTATTTACTGTAAAATACATAGAGCTTTATCAGTAGGTCCAGATCTACTTTCTGCCTCCACACCATGGCCTTGAATTTCCTAGCACCTACACAACAAATGCAGCAAAATTTCCATGCCTACCCCTATCATGTTATTTGAAATGATAGCAAGGCTGGAGTTTTGGTCTGCTTCATCCTACCATTCAAGTTTACAGAGACTGAAAATGAAAATAATAAAATTACTAACCAATCACTCTAGGTTCAGGTTATATCTTTCTTAATTTATTAATAAATTCAAAATTGCATATTCACAAAAAGATCTGATTTCTTTTCTGTTGTTGGCTGCCAGACAAGCTGTTGTCCAAAGCTGGAAAAGTAAAAGAATCCCTAATTTGATCAACTGGAATTGGCAAGTGTAGAATTGGACTCTATTAGAGAAACTGACCTAGCAACTTAGCTATCCAACAGACCATCTAGATATTGACACATTTGAGCGTATTTGGTCATCATTTATCAACTTAATTGACTGAGAAGAAGATGGACTCTGCTCTGTCCCAGCAATACATGGCAAGCTATAGACAAGCTTACTTTGCTCTAGATTTGGACAGTAAAACTCTGTGAGAGCTCTGAGAGATTACTCTTTCTGAAAAGCAACTTTTGTAATCCTTTATAATTGGTAAGCATTGTATATGTATTTATAATGGTGTATGTACTTGAATTTATCTGCTTTATATTTGTTTTTAATTATTAGTAAACTATTTGTTATTGAAAAAAATACAAGCAGAGCTTCATTTACATATTCCAAACACAGTAACAGTGGCGAGAGAAAATGATATCTTGCAATTTTATTTTGGAAAAAATCAGGTTGTAAAGCCATGTCTTTTGGCACATTGCTAGATGTTCACAAGAAGAAAATGGTGCAGCTGAATCTGTCACTTCTCAAAAAGGCAAGGCATCCCTCTGAAGGGTTTCACCAAACCTTCATCTCTTCCCACCTGAAATGCACACATAAAGCAACAATGACAACCTTGGAAATAATATTTGCTAGAGTAGAGCTTCTATACTCTTAAGCTTTCATGAACCTCCCCGATTATATGTACTGTACTTTCAATCTGCAATCCAGATAATACATTAGACTATTTCAGGACACTGCTGCATACAGACTTGGCACAGATCCACATTTCAAAGGGAATATACAGATACAGCTCAAGAATGTGGACGTGGTGTTTGGCCAGGTCTGTGCAACCACCTCCGTCCTGGATCCTTGCCCCTCCTGTCGTATAAAAGCCAGCAAGGAAGGAATAACTAGCAGGGCCAGGGAGGTCATTAATGCCTCTTTGTGAGAGGGAATGGTCCCATGCTGCCTCCAACAGGGAGTGGTGAGACCACTTCTGAAGAAACTATTCCTTGATCCAGAAGATCTGAACAACTTCAGGTTGGTAGCAAATATTCCTTTCCTGGGTAAGGTTCTTGAGATGTGGTTGCCAGGCACTCTTGAAGGAGACTGATTGTCTGGATCCATTTCAGTCAGGATTCAGGCCTGGTTCTCGAATGGAAACAGCCTTGGTTGCCCTGTATAATGAATGACCTATGCCGGGAGCAAGACAGGGCAAGTGTGACCCTGTTGATACTGCTGGACCTCTTTTGATATAATCGACTATGGAATCCTTCTGTTCTGGGTCAACTGTCTGAAATTGGAGTGGGGGGGCACTGCATTGCAGTGGTTCCACTCCTATTTGTAGGGCCGTCTCTAGAAGGTGGTGCTTGGAGAACATTGTTCAGCTCTGTGGATTCTTCAGCATGGAGTTCCTCAGGGGCCTGTTCTGTCCCCTAACATCTACAGGAAACCACTGAGTGGAGTCAACTGGAGTGTTGGAGTGCATTGCTATCGATATGCTGAAGACACATAGCTCTACTCCTTTTCATCATCAGCAGGTGAGGCTGTGGAAGTGCTAAACTGATGTCTGGATACGATAATGGACTGGATAAGGGTAAACAAACTGAAACCCAATCCAGACAAGACTGAGATGCTGTTGGTGGGTGGTTCCTTCGACTGACTGGGGGGTACTGAACCTGTTCTAGATGGTGTTTCACTCCCCCTGAAGGAGCAGATTTGTAGCGTAGGGGTGCTTCTTGACCCATCTTTGAAACTGGAGGCTCAAGTATCCCAGCTACAGCTCTTCCTGGACAGATAACCTAGTTTCAGTAATCTACGCTCTGGTAATCTCTAAATTAGATGAGTGCAATGCACTCAAGTTGGGGCTGCCCTTGAAGACAGTTCAGAAGCTACAGCTGGTGCAGAATGTGGCAGCCAGATTAATAACCAGGACCCATAGGTCCAAATGCACAAAACCGGTTCTGGCCTACTTGCATTGGCTACGAGTATGCGTCTAGTCTCAATCCATGGTCCAGGTTTTAACCTACAAAGCCCTACATGGCTTAGGACCACAATACCTGTCAGAGCGCCTCTCCCACCTGTAAGTTACTCAGACACAACACTAAACCTCTAGGATCTTCCTCCCAGTGCCAACTTGGAGGGAAGCATGGAGGGTGGCAACATGGAGGTGGGCTTTCTTAGTGGTGGCACCCCATCTATGGAATAACCTCTCCACTGCAGCCCAGCTAGCGCCAAATGTGTCCTCCTTTCAGTGCCGAGTTAAGATGGCCCTCGTTTCTGAGGCTTTTAAGGACTTACTTGGCCACCCAGGTGCTTGAGGGAGATCACTAGGTGTTCCACAGAGTCACTCTTCTTGTCATTCTTTGTACAGTCTGTTTTTATCATCTGTTTTTATTGTTTTAAGCTTTTTATTTTTCTGGTTTTTTGCATTTTTATCGTTTGTTTGTATGGATTGTGTAAACCACTCAGAGAGCTTCTGCTCTGGGGGCATATATAAAATAATAATAATTCCTTGTATGGATAGCAAGAAAAAAATAAGGATATGGCACATATGGTAAGGATAGCAAATTGCCTCCAGTCAATCTTCTGCTGAGGAATCACTGCCCATTCTCAAACCAGTATATCAATATCCTGATTCACACCCAATTCTCTCTGAAGTCTTACAAGAGAGAAACGTAGAGCACTTTGACATAAGCTTTCCCTCCTCAGGGTACCATTTATACTTTACTCACTGCCTGTTCCCACATGGAAAGGAAGGAAAAGAACTGTCGGAAATAGCTCTTTCAATATCCCTAGAATTCCTTGTGCTTTTTGTTGCCTTGCACAACGGTACTCGGCCTGCAAGCCCATGCACAGGATCCCTCTTTCCTCGCAAAGGCACTGGCTGGCGGCAAACATCTTCAAGTAACACTTAAATGGTACCTGGCAGTTTCAGCCACTTTGGCACTTTTCCTGATGGAGCCCTCCTTGCTTGCTGCTGAGGTCCTTCAAGGGCTGCTGCCAGTTCTGAGTGCCCAGTTCTTACACTCTCATCAGCCTCATGTGGCTCAGGTGGGGAACTAAGAGCAGGGTTCGAATGTTGCTCAGTAGTATGAGTTACCGATTTAGACAATTGCCTGAGAAAAAGATTGCATGTTAGATTTTCTTCTTTCCATCGTTTAACATTTTGAACTCTGTTGCAAAAGGCAAATGTCTAATGTGTTCCAGTCCTGTTGGTAATACAGGGTCTCTGTTCATTCATATGGGATTTACTAAGCTGTGAGCAAGGGCAAAGGTGCAAGCAAGTTTTTTCAACTACTGACCAACTCTTCATTGGGCAAAGCAATAATCCCTTCCATATCTTCGAGAGGAATTGCTCGCAATAGTTACTTACCTAGCTACTAAAATGTCAGCTTCAGAAAGGGATACTGCAGATTCCAGCAGGTCCAACCTCAGATAGTAATCTGAAAACACAAAGAGCTCATGTTTGCTAAATAAAGTAACACTCCTCCTTTAAAATCTGTAACAAAATGCTTCAAAGCAATGTGGGACTATGATGTTCTCTTTACAAAACGAATGACCCTTCAAGCCAGACTAATCCCCCTCAGTCCTCATCTTCAAACCTGTGAAACCTTATCTAACATTTTGATACTGTAGATTTTAGGATACCATCAGCCTGTCTCAGATCCTATTCTGTCAAACTATACTAATGAGGATTGTAACATTAAGAAAAACAACTGCTAGACAGAGACAGTGTCTCATCCAACATATGTAAGTTTCTCTTATCATTTAGTCCTTGAAGAGGTTACACCATTGGACTTCTAATAAATTGCACCATTAAGAGAGCATACTAGATGTTATCTTCAGTCTGCAGCTCAATCGTATTCTGATCTTTGCTGTAGACAAATCCTCTTAAAGCCCATTCAGCTACGGTGGTCAGTCCAGCTGTATTTTAAAGATTACCGTAACACGATGTATTACACAAACACTTGTCCTCAGCTTGAAGGTGAATTGTGGCTGAAGGCAATTGTGAAGAGTTTACACTGGCATTTATTAGCATCTGGTATAGACCCAGATTTCTGTTTGATGTCAGTGAGATAAAAAACAATTCAGCCATGAATTTTAACCCAAATTTCATAAGAATGTGTGATTTAAAGCTAGTATTACACCAGCCAAGTTGGACCAATTAAAAGAAATCTGTTTACCTATGTTGCACTGTTCTTATCAGTTCTAGATCATTCAGGATTCAATTATTATATGACAAATAACACTCTGTAGTTTAGTGGAGATCTTAAGAAACTGAAGAAAAGTGGAACAAGGCAAGGCTCAAGTGAAGAGCAACCTTTTACTTTGAACAACAACCCAAAAATGGAACGTTAATTTGTCTGAGATCTATCATTTAGCTGTAGACAAAAAGTGATGGAATTAGGATTCTTGCTCATTTCACCTTAGAACAGGACGTTTCCTTTACTGTCACTTCCCCATCAGGCTGGCTTCTAATCTGGGCATATGTCACGTTAAAAGGTTTCATAGCCTCACCTAAAAGCCCCAAACAAACGGTAGTCCGCTGCTTTACTCCCAACATGCTAATCTAGGGTCAACTGCCACAGGCATGGGGGACTAAAGCCAGGGATAGAGTCAGCTTGAATGCTCATCCAGCAGCTATGCAGTTCCTTGGGAAGAACAAGAGAAGGCTGCTACTCACTTTTGTGCTTCTCAGATCCAAAGTATACAACAGCAGCAGGGAAGAGGTTAGCCTGAATCAAGAGAGAGATCCCAGGGTTAGAACAAAGAGCTTGGAATGCCTCTTCTCTGGTCAGCCTTGAGAATGCACATGAGGAGAGCAGTAGCCTTTATCCCAGGCATAAAGTGGTCATTTTTTGCTTGTTTAACACACTGCTGTTCAAAAACATCAAGTCCAGCCTCCCTCCTGGCAACAAAGCCCTTTTAAATATAAACAATCAATGTAATCCAACATTATACTAACTCAGGCTCTTATTCCCCATCCATTTCCCGGTGACACATTTGGGAGCTAGATTTAAGCAAGTCAAGATATGTTTCATGGAGAAAAACAGCAGAAAAATGCAATAAAATCATAGATTAATCTGCACTCCTGTCAACATTTGCCTCATTTTCAGAGCTAATGGTTCTTGCCCCTTCCCCACGGGACTGTTAAGACATGTTTCTCTGATAGATCTTTAGCTACGATATAAAGAACATGATTGGTCTGCAGGGCAGACCACTGAGGCCATGCGTCAACTGTGAATGACCCAGCAAGTGCCTGAAGAACCAGGAACACCTTTGCAGGCACTTTCAGGGAAGAGCTGAGGAACAAGTATGAAGTGCAGCTGGAGGCCCCACAGACCAGCATCAAAGGCCTCCCTACACCGCTGCTCTTTGCCACAGCAACACAAGGTGTTCTTGCAACTTCCTTGTGCTATGGCTCTCTGCATTGCCTCACCTGAATCTGGATTTCCACCTGGCCAGCCTGCCTCCTGCCTTGCTCCAGCCTGTTCCTGATTCTGAGGTACCTGCACCCATCCTCTCTGGCCTTGCCTTGTTGTTGAATGTGTCTCTTTCTTGAACTTGACCTTTGGGCTATGCCTTTGGATTGTGACATCTGGGACTGTGTTTGCTTGGATCTAGCGTCTTCCTGACCATGGCCCTGGACTGTTAAATAAACACACCTCTTGCTTCGGGCCCTCTGAACCCGCTGCAGGACTCCGCTTTGCACCTGAGCCCTGGTTCCAGCGTTCCAACCATAGTTGCCTGCTGCTCACACCCTGTATACACAGTGGTAGCAGAACATAAGAGGAGCCACACTGGATGAAACCCAAGGTCTATCTAATCCAGTCTTCTGCTCACGCTGTGGACCAACCTGCTGCTCACAAGGAAACCTACAAGCAATCCACAAGCACAAAAGCACCCTCCCAGTTGTATTATCCAGCAACTAGTACGACGTATTAGAAGTAATATACAGCCACCATGGTAGTCGTCACCAATAGCCTTATTCTCCCTTTGAAAAAGTATTCGATTTGGTGGGCAAAACTATCCTTTGGAAGCAAATTCTATAGTTTAACTTTGCACTGTGTAAAGTACTTTCTTTCATCTGTCACAAATCTCTCACAATGATCTATTGAGAGAGAAGCCTTTCTCTATCAACTTTTGCCTACCATGTATAATTTTATACACCTGTATCATCTCTCCCTGCATTCACGTTTTTTCCTAAACTAATATATCCCAAACATTCTTCTTAGGGGGTAAGAACTCCTTGATCATTTTGGTTGCCCTTTTCTGTACCATATATTGGACCCAACATTAAGGTATTGTTTTGCTAATATTGTGAATAAAAAGTAACACTTTTCAGAGCAGAACTGGACAACAAACATGAGATTTCTCATTTAATGCATTTTTAACCCAGCAGTAGCTGCATTTGCAGGAAAAAAGTGGCTGGGTGAATATAATCCTTTCCCCATGGCACTTCCTCTGTGCAACCCTTCCCACCAATCATTTTTCAGATTATGACTGAAATGAAAGAATGAAAACTTGATTTCATGAACAGTGCAAAAGAAACTGGCTATGATGCCAAGTAAATGAGCCTGCACTTAAGTCCTGGATCTGGAGCAGGACATAAGCATTGAGAAACCAACTAGGAACCGGGAAGTACTGTGTAAGCAGAACTTGGTCCAGAAAGTCAAACACACTTCATCTCAAAAAGAAATCTTCTAACCAAATAAATAAAAGCATTAGTTAATAATTCATTTTGTTCACATTTCTGCATTCCACAAAAAGTGCCTCAACTCACCAACAGTACATAACAAAGCACAAATAGAATCATATAAATCTGAATATTATAAAGGAAGCAAAATAGATTAGAGAGTTTAAAGGAAGTAGAAAATTGGGAGTCAAAAGGGCCAAATTTCTCTTGGATGGCTGGCAGTGACAATAATAGCACATCAGCTAAAATGTATACCATGGAGTAGGAAACATACCAGCAAGTACAAAAGGATGCCAGCATGGTTAACAAGCAGAGTCAAGGAAAGGCAAGATAGTGTTTTTGTTTTAAGTGAACATCTTAGCCAAGTGAGAACAAAATGTAGTACAACTTGTTTTAAAAAAAAAAGCAAGCAGGAAAAACTGGGGGAAAAAACGCTTCAAATGTTTAGATATACAATGATATGTAGTTTAAATGTAACAATGCAAGAAACCATACTGCAAGGCAGCTGGATTATTAGATGATAAAGAATGGAAGGACTGCCCAGAAAAGGACAGAGAAATTGCAGCAATGAATTCTTTAAATATGGTTTCACTGCAGAAAAATCTGGGTATCTGCTCCTGAACCACTTTTTTCAGGAAGTTCATCTGAAGAACTAAGTTCAACAACTAAGAACTAAACTAAGAACTAAGAACAGGTGACAGAACAGGATATTCTAGGAGTAACTAGAGTTTAGCCTGTCGCTATTCCTCGATGAAGTACACTTAAGGGGTCTTAAGAAACCTAAGTGTGAAATCGCTGATGTAGCTATGAAAATAGAGAAGTTGGCATTAAAACTGGAAAGAAATTAACATGTTACTTACTCTTTAAAAGGGACAGAAAACCAGAAGCCAGTTAGCCTAATACCTGTCCTGGGATAGAAACACTGGAAGGTATTATTGACACAGAACAAATCAGGCTGGGAAAGAAACAGCAAGGCTCTTGGACAGGAAAGTCCTGCCTCACTAACAATTTTTGGAGTTCTTTGAAAATAAGGGTGTGGATGGGCTGTGATCCTGGAAACATTATACACTTGATTTTTTTTAAAGCTTTTGACAAAGCTCCTGAGACATAAGAGGATGGATCATCTTATGCATTAGTAACTTTAAATACGTTCTTAATTTCATTTGAAGATGCTTCCAGAAGGATCGCTTCAAACTGAATGAATGCGCAGCATTATGGCAAATGAGGTTTGAGGTTCAGTGTAAGCAAGCATGCAGCCATACATATTGGGCCAAAAAAATGTATTTTCATCAAGTACATAGTTCTTTTATTGCCATTCTCCAAAAACAATCTCTTGATTAACTACAGGAAAGAGATAGGCTATATCCATTTGTAACATAAATCTTGCATCTTCCATTCTATGAAATGACTGTGCTACGTAACATAATGCTAGGCAACATCACAATTTATTGACTTTATCCATTTTATTGACTTAATGCAAGGACTCAAAATGTTTATGTAACAAGCATCAAGACCCACGGTAGTGTACAGGCATGTGTACAAAAGCAGTCAAGAACATTCAGCTCCCAGGAAAAGGAAAGGCTTTCTCCAGCAGCACTTAGATTCATCGCCTTTCCAGAAACCAGATCTTTCATGGGGCTAACCTGATGGCCTAGCAGTAGGAACCCACGTTTATGACTCCCTTAAAAACATTTCCTCTCTCAAGCGGCAAGACCCCAAGGTTGCCAGTTTCACCAGAAGCCAGTCACAAAGGCGGCTCTCCGTAAACTTTTTAATTAAAAAAGTACCAGACACAGTTCAGAACCCGCCCCCTCCCCGAAAACTCTTACAAAAGCTTTGATGTCTCCGCTGCCTTCATCTGAAGGGATCCTACTATTTAGGGAATGGATTAAAAAAGGACACCCCCCCCCCCACATACACACTATCCTTTTCACGCCAGCCACAAAGTTGGAAAATGAGGTTTTTGTAGCGTGTTAGTGTTGGAATTTTTTAATAACCTCCCCTCTCTTTTTTCCCCTCTCCTGCCCAATTATCGTGATGAATAATTAACATTCTGAAGGAGATAACTAAGCACAGCATCTCAGAGCTCAAAGCCCTTTAGTTCAAAGTCCTGCCCTTTTCTCTTCGTTTCTCCAGTTGCTGCCACTAAAACTTCCTTGTCAATCAAGCTCTGGGCACACACATCAAAGCTCCATGTGGGAATGGCCCCAAGGGGTCAGAGAAAATTCATGGCAGGGCCTGTGAGTGAGGCACAAAGAGAGAGAGAGGGAGAGAGAGACAGCAGAGGAACATGGTCCAAGAATGAGACAGACACACGCGGCACCAACTCTGTAACACACATACACTCACAGAGCGTGCCCCAATAGAGCTGCTACCCTATTTTTACTCTCAAGTTGACAAATAAGTCCAGCTTTAGCCTTTGAGCTCCTCCTTCCTAACCAATTCCCACCACTGGCAAGACATCAGTCCAAAGCTCTTTTAATTGGAAGAGACTTAAAGGAATGACACAGCAGCTCGTGAGCGCACAAAATTCAGCCGCCTCCTCACAGCTCATTCTCTCCCCCTCCCCTGCTCGCCTTTTTCTCTTCTGAGGGTCTGGCCAATAAAAATTCCCTTCACAAAGGCTTATCCATAGCTCACTCCTTTTCTTTCAGGCTAGGCACAAGGCATGCTCATTTGGGTGCCCCTTGTCTGTTTTCCTCATCTTTTATGCATATTTCACCAGAATTGCACAGTTACAACATTATGGGCAAGGCAAGGAAAAGCATATTCCCCAATATGGCCAAGACATTCTCTAGCTTATTATGTACAAATTAAATTTAATAGATTTATAGAACAGTTTGAGCCCTCTAGGTCAAAATAACTTCCTTCAGACACACAAGCTAAACACATATCCAACTTAGAAACATGTACAGAAAGCAACTTCCTTCCACCGCTGTTTTCCTCCCACAAATTACCCTGCCACCGAGCTCGGCATGCCCCTAACACCATTAGGCCTGTTGGATGGCATCATTAACCAATGTTCATTCTTATTCTATT